CAGAAATTTGTATGGAATAAAAACAAACCTGCACATTTTTGTTAAAGGTTGGCATATACCTCAAATCTCCTTTCTTCATGTGCATACTCCATTTTAAAGAAACCTTAATTTGCATTACTTCCTTTGAGTTGCTATTTAATATTGAATGTCTTATTTTATTTTGTTACAAAAATAAGAGATTGCATTTTTTTTTTTGCAATATTAAAAACAAAAATAAGGAAGCAACTCTTGGTAAGTTTTGTAATAACTGACAAGATTATTAAGACTTCCTCTAACAATAAATCAAAGCATCGTCGATGTTGTGATCCAGCCAATTGTATAGCTAGTCTGATGTTATGATCCAGCCAATTGTATATAGTCTGATGTTGTGATCCAGCCAATTGTATAGCTAGTCTGATGTTGTGATTCAGCCAATTGTATACTAGTCTGATGTTGTGATCCAGCCAATTGTATAGCTAGTCTGATGTTGTGATCCAGCCAATTGTATAGCTAGTCTGATGTTGTGATTCATCCAATTGTATTGCTAGTCTGATGTTGTGATCCAGCCAATTGTATAGCTAGTCTGATATTTTTTCTGACCATACTTCTTTCAATATTTTGTTTTGCTCTTTTCATTTCCATATCTTACTTTAAAATTTCTATGCTATTGCCCAAAGATGGAGAATTTCGCAATATCGATGCAAATATTGCAAATATTGATTTTGATATTTCAATTTTAGACAAATCTTTTTTTTAAATATTTGCAATTTAATGATTTCGACAAGAATGGAAAGGGAAATTGTCAAACCAGAAGTATATTTTTTTATATAACGTTAATAATAATTGGCTTATTAATTTCCAGATAGATGCATTGGAAATCACTTTCTCAACAACAACACAAAATAAAAAAAATACATAACTAATTTCTATCTACATTGGTGTTCATTCTTCATTGAGAAAACTATTGTATTCAAATATAAATGTAAAAATGCCTAATGCTGAGATATTACCAATTACTGTTATAAATAGCAATATAATGGGATATAAATAGAGAATAACTAAATACATTTTATTGCAGAAAATGCTCGGATAAGAGTTATGCAAATTTGTTTATTGTTTCAACCAAATTACTGATAATGGTAACTTAATTAGAACTTGATTATTGACCTATGTCAGACGATAATAACACTGATTTTACAAGTGAAATAAAATCTGCTTTTATACATATTTTCTCATTTTTTCTTTTCTTTGAAAAAAAAAACCAAAATCTGCTTGCATTTTTTATACATATTTTCCCTTTTTTTTCTTTTCTTTGAAAAAAAAAGCAAAATCTGATTCGTCATTCAGCTTTCACATAAAATTAACAGAATAATTTAATGTAGTGTAGATCAAAATAAATATTACAAAGGTGTGTAATAAATTGTGTCTATTGTTCAAATTATGTAACAAGTCATGAGATATTACTGTGGTGAATTAAGACTGGAGTTTATTCCAATTAATACTTACACCTTTGAGTGTAATTGTTTGAAAAAAAGTGTGGGAATCAACTTAGATATATCAATACACATCTGGAACCAAATTTATTCTATAACCAGTGGCGGATCCAGAAATTTTCATAAGGGGGGCCCACTAACTGCCTAAGAGGGGCCCGCTCCAGTCATGCTTCAGTGATTCCCTTAATAATCAACCAAATTTTTCCCACAAAAAATGGGGGGCGGGCCCCTGGAAAACCCTCTAAATCCGCCTCTGATAACTTGCACAAGCATAAGATACTAATAAAATACTTTCAAAATTCTTAACTGATTAAATTGATGTATATTACTTTTTCACATTAATTCATAAATAGTAAATTATCATAAACTTTGATCTACAAAGGAACTACATGCAAGTGTATATCTAAAATAAAGTAGCTGTTCAACCAATATTTTCTTAATTTAAGGGCAAATAACACGTCAAAAGTTGTCATTTGATGATTAAAATGATGTATAAAGTTTCTGCAAGTCATAAAAACACACAAGTAGTTTCATATGTCTTCAACTTAGAATTCAGCACCATCTCAAAATCCGGGGTAATCACATAGATCCTAGCATAGCTGAATCAAAAACCCTGAAGACACATCGATATGTAGCATGCATATGATGCAAAAGTGTCAAAGTCAATTGAAGGTGTGATGCCAAATAATCTCCATGGAAATGAGATTTGCAAATTGTAGTACAACTGCCTACTGAATCTCATTGACTTACTGTTAGTGGTTCCCCTTAAACTGACCTAATCATAAGCAAGTGTTGATGTACCAGGCGCCAACATTTACCCTTTTGATGATGAAAATGTCCAGTGGCGAATAATACTTGCATACCAGTTGTGAACATTTTAATGTAATACGAGTATGGATGCTCCTTAGTGCTAAACCTACATGCTGAGCTGGATTTTAAAGTGTCCGTTCATACAGTAAAAGTTTATACGTAGACATGTCACCCTAACCAAACATATTACTCTGTGTTGAACAATCTTTGTTCTTTCTATTAATGACATGAGATTAACAGAGAAGCATTAAATACCAATTTTTCACGTCTTTGGCTTGCCTGCCAGGGATCAAGCGCACAACCTTCATCATCCAAGACAAGCATGCTACCACTAAGGCAGCGTGCCTACACCAGACACAGGAAGATTTGGTTTCGCCTCCACAATGTTGTTAAGGCGAGACACAAATGAATATTAAATTAATTAAGATTGTTTACTTAGTATTATTTGTTTGTTTGCACTTGAGTGACAGTTATATCAGAATTACCAGTAAGGTAAGTGCTTTACTTGTAGTGATTTTTTTATCAATGTACTTTTATCTTCCATTTGTTATAAATCCACAGATTAAAAAGGGGAGGGCTGGCATCTTTGTTTAATAAACTGTTGACACAGAGATATGTCTTGCCTGTTGGCAGAAAATCACAATCAGATGGACAGCAACATTGCTAATTAATTCAAAGTTGCTGGACCATGAAAAAGAGGGTAGTACGTCAAAATAATCATCAAACTGAGATGTAGATAGAAATGCAACTTTATAGAAAATATCATTGTCTATCATAAGTAGTTCCTATCAATCTTAACTTGAGCAGTAAACTTAACATTGAAAATTGGTAATTATTTGAAAGTCACTGGACCTTTTCTACGGGGCAGGGCCTCGAAATAGTCGTCAAACTGATATGTACTGAAAGTAATGCAACTTTTTTAGAAAATATGATTGATCTATCACAAGTAGTTCTTTTCAAACTAACTTAAGCAGCAAACTTAACAATTGTTGACGCCTTCAACGCCACCGCAAAGCAAAAACTATGTCTCGTCTTCCGCAACAAACGGTGAGACCAAAAACTAGTTTAACACTGCCAGACCTTCATATGCCTGTCCAAAGTCAGGAACCTCATAAATGGGTTATTCTATGTCATATCTTAATGTAAGATTCTGGAAAGAAATACAAACAATCATGTTTTAACTTAGATATCTGAGCAAATGTTTTAATACATTGCTTGACATTGTCAGGATAGGATCTTATGAATGTACAACTGCACTGTCTAGTCTACTGATGAACTGTTACCTTGTGAGCTAGCACATTGGAAATCAGACACAGCAGGGTAGACTTATATATACAGAGCAATTCTTATTCAAATCATCTGGAAAAAAGCAGTTTCATCTGTTACCTATATTAACATCTTATCCAAATCATCTGACAAAAAAATTCAGCAATTTTTCCATTTGTAAAGGGGCATAACTCTAGAACTGTTAAAGTGACACCACCATTATTCAAACTTGATCTGTGTTTTGTGGTAATAAGCATTGTGTATAAGTTTCATAACATTTGGTTGAGGCAAACAAAGTTAGAAAACGGAAACCAACTTTGGAACAGACGGACGTACATACAGACGGACAAGGGTTAAACTTAATGCCCCCGCCGTAGATAAAAAGCAGTTTCTTCTGTTACCAATACTAACATTGGACTCAAGATTTCTTTTAAACTGAGATTTACTGTGCGTATGGCTGTGTGTTTGTTTATTCCACATTGGCTAGAGGTATAAGGGGAGGGTTGGGATCTCACAAAACATGTTTAACCCAACAAATTTTTGCACCTGTCCCAAGTCAGGAACCTCTATATAGCTAGCCTTTGTTAATCTTGTGTGTTTTTTAAATTTTGGTTCATTTGAATGTTTTGGAGTTTAGTGTGCCGTCCATTACGCTGATCTAGTATACATTATTGTTAAAGGGCCAGCTGAAGTAAGCATCTAGGTATGGGATTTTTCGCTGCTTTGAAGACCAATTGGTGGCCTTGAATTATTATCTGGTCTTTGGTGGGGTTGTTGTCTCTTTGACACATTCCTCGTTTCCATTCTCTATTCTAAAAATGATGTCTGATGTTAAGCAGCAATCAATCAATCCATAATATAAGATTAAACGGTAGGGGACTAATAATTCTTGTGGCAACAGCTGCAGCTTATAATAATTTGAACAAATACCATATATTAATATTATTATATGTATTAAAAAAAGACAATTTTTTTGTCAAATATGGCAAAATTTTACATTTGACATCCTCTAAGTGACATGGACAGATTATTTTATCATACTCTTATTCTATGGTAGGACAAATTTTTACTTAATTCTTCAAAGGGTTGAAGAATCTTGACTATAACTTGGGACCAAATATTGACTCTTAAAATAGCTGCCTTGAGATTGATTGACTGTTGTTAGCTAAATGTCCAGTGGCAAATATTTGATGGTTTGAAGGATGAACCATAACAGAAGTATTGATACTGCAAATGATGTCACCTTAAAATAGAAGATGCTCAACCTACAAAGGGATGTCACCTTAAAATAAAATGTTCCACTTAAAACAGATGTCACCTTAAAATAAAATGTTCCACTTAAAACAGATGTCACCTTAAAATAAAATGTTCCACTTAAAAAAAGATGTCACCTTAAAATAAAAGATGTTCAATCTACAAAGAGGGTGAAAGGTACAGAATAATAACTCGTCCAAGTGTATATTATTTTTTATTTGTGATTATTTCAAATTTTATTATTATGTTTCTTTATTTGCATTTATTGTGTAACAAATAATAATCACAAGGGAATTATTGTATAATGAATGACAAAAAAGGTGGGAAAAATACAATGTTTTCTGTAAATTCAAATAAAGATTAGTCTAATAAAGTGAATTGATGTAACAAGTGTTTCCTGATTAAATTTTCATATTTCATTTTCAAATACATTTTGGTTAATCATAAAATATACAAAAAATAATCTGACATGAAATTTGAGGAAAATAATGAGATATTAATTATACAAATCATTTGTATGTCAGTAATAAATTTCACTAATTTTTATCAATTTGTGTAGACTACCTGTCCAATAAATATAATAAAAAATGTTCATAATCTCAGTAAAATGTATCATTTATTGTAGTAAAAATCTTTAAAACTTCAGCAATGCAACACATCAATGATATGTTCATTGGCTATTTTTTGTTACTGTAAAAATTTTGTATTTTATGCAAATTTTACTCCAAAATTCAAATTGCCAGTTTACAGTGGTTCAAAAAAGAAAAGAACTTTTTTTTAAGGATTATTTTGAAATTACATCAAAATGTCTTGTTTTTTCTGCTTTCTCTATTGAGAAATAACACAAAAAGATGACCATTACTGATGACATCACAGAGAAATAACATTGTCTTTTTGCAGATCAGTGAAAAAGAAGAAGAAAAGTTTGCATACATATCTTCTAAAAATCATCGGAGTTTCAGATTTCACTACAGTATCTCGACAGTTTAATTTTAAACATTTAAATCACTCTGCAAGCCTTACATTTAAAATTTTAAAATATATCTATCTTGAGCACTTAATAAGTTGTAGAATATATATATAATTTATATAAAAAAATTGGTAAAGGGTTCCACAGAACCCTGTGTCTCGCCTGCCACTGCTGCTGTCAGTGTAAAAGTGTGATGTTGACTTAAAAGGTGAAAAAAAAAAAATCAAACTTTTCTTAAAATGCTATTTCTTGGTCTTGAAGATTAACTTCTGTCCAACTTTCACAACAATCTATGAAGATTTACAAATTTATAAAGTCAAAAAAATTTAATCCCAGACTGTGAGAATGTTTACTGTAAAAAACGAAGTCCATTAATCAGAAAAATACTGAAAATGAAAAAAAAAAGTTTGCTTCTGCCAAATTTTCATAAATTCTTTGAAGGTTTGACAAAGAACTTGATGTGTAACAAACTTAAACCCCAGACTGAATCTACTTGTTCACTATTTATCAGTAAAACATGGAAAAATGAAAATGAAAATAAATATTTTCAAAATTTTGCTCTGGATACTGTATTTTGGTCATAAAAAGCTTCTACCCAAATTTCATAAAATTCCATGAAAGTTTGACAAAGTTATTAACGTCTAAATAAACATTAACCAGACTGAACCTCAATGTTGACGACGCCAAAGCCAATGCCACCACTGACGACGCAATCTTGGATTGCTGTGTCTCGCTTTCGCAACATAAATGTCGCAGGCTCAACAAAAAACCTTGAAGTAGTTATTTTTATTGTCTTTGTACTTTAAAGTAATGTGTAATCATTTGTGCTAGGATACTTAAATGGAAAGTGCAAGTACTTGCATAATATTAAAATCATCATCATAACTCAAGAAATCACCAAATTATTAGTAAATGGTCCATTTTATAACAGACTCTGGACCACAAATCTAATATAGACCTTGTGTGGATGGAAAAAAAAAAGATGAATGAACAAAAATATATTTGTAATTTGTATTATTTTCAAATAACTTAAAATTGGGATGTGTGAATGTTCTATAAATGTTTTATTTGCTAAATGCATACCATACCATGCAGTTGTAGCGGGAGGTAATGAAGTTGCCTAGAGTAGGATAGCATAATGCTATTTGAAAACAATCAATTTCATCCAAAAAAAAACCTAAAAAAAACAGATGGTACCAATTTTAATGTTTTCTTTGCTGGTTGAAAAATGCCCAAAAAGTGTATATGTTATTTTGAAGAAAAATTGTAACAGACAATTCTTTTGGAGTAAAAGTTTTTCTTGAACATTGAAAAAAAATGATTTCTTTAAATGCTTCTCCCCCAATAGGCCAACAAAAAAAATCTAATACATCTTCAAAAATGACCCATGAATGTATCATTTTTTGTATATATTTAAAAAGTACACATTAAAATAGACCTTGTTTCAAAATTTGGGGAAAATTTTACAGTGGATTATAACTGTCCATAATTCCCTTAAGAGTGTCAAAATAAATGAATAAATGTAATAACAAAACATTCCAAAAAATTATATATTTGGAATATTTGAATTTTTCGAATTCACTGACCAAAATCAGCAACAGGTAAAAATCTATGAATAAGGTCAAGGTCCAAAAAAATAAATAATTCTACATTATATTCAATAAGGAAGGGAGGAATGGGGATAAAAATTTACTGACATGTTCAAATAAATAAATACATTTGATGATAACAATATTGCACTAAATATAACAAATTAATATGATACACATACTGTTTAAAACTTTCAAAATCTCCTGCATTTTGCAAAAATGTTAATTTCAATGTACACTAAAGACAGAACTTCATGTAAATTTAAAATAACATAAAAATCATTACATTAACAATCAACAAATAAAATAACGTAACAAAAATACATGTACAAACATCTGATTGGCAGATTATGTTTGAGGCTCCAGTAGGGTACCCCCCCCCCACCTTAGGTCACAAGGTCAAGTTTAAAAATTGACTCCAGTCTCAAGGTCACTTAAAGCAAACTATACAGTTCTAAACTGATCTGATTCTCGATTTTGAACATTTTTAAGGTCACAGGTCTTTTTCAATGAGACTTCAGGTTTTGACCATGTAAGAACCCCATATTTAACTATTACATGTAAACTGTCTAGATCCTTGAAAATCAGGGTTCAAGGTCAGAATTGACTATTTTGTCACATTAAATTTTGTTATAAAATCCTGATACGTTTTTGAAGTATATCTCCTGAATTCAGTCTAATCTTCAAGTTGTAGATTTAATGTAGCCATACCTGTTAACTGTATTGAAATATGACATTGACATTTATACTCCTGTATTACAGACATTGAAATATGACATTGACATTTGTACTCCTGTATTACAGATATTTAAATATGACATTGACATTTGTACTCCTGTATTACAGATATTATTTAAAAGATGCGTTTGATTTGGTGAATATATGTCAAGGCAGAATCTATAGTACCAAAATGAAATACACAGAATCTGGAGAGCCTTCATAAAAGTCACTCAAAGTCAAAAGTTTGTCAAACATAAATACATTGGGATCCACAAATTCAAAAGAAATTTACACAATAAACAAAACGAGCCTACTGAAACGTTATTCGAAATGAGCCTACTAAAACCTTATTCAAAACAAGCCTACTGAAACCTTATTCAAAACAAGGCTACTGAATCCATATTCAAAACGAGCCTACTGAAACCTTATTCAAAATGAACCTACTGAAACCTTAATCAAAACAAGCCTAGTAATACAATAACTGTAAGTCTTATTCCAAAAGAACATAACCATTGCCAAAACTTATAATTCACTAAAATAATGTGACAATGAAACAGCATGGAAGAACATAATAATAATACATTTGGAAATACTGAATAAAGGGAAATTGGATTTACTTCTCTTTGGAGCATAACAACTCTTTTTTAACTTCATAAACATATTCGCATGACCAAACTTTTCATGACCTTTGTCTTCTACTGAGTATAAACTGTTGTAGTACTGATATAGAAAGAAGGGAGCTGTGCTTAAAATGATTATAAATGATGATTTTCCATAAAGGATGAGCATAAATATCCAAATTAAACGAAAAGGATGAATCGATTGTTAAAAAAAAATGTTTGAGCACTTTTACAGACAAAATGAGAACACAAGACAGTAACAGTAAAATATGACAGCACTCTTAAAAGACAACCACTAAAATAAAATTATATGTTATCTTTCCCTCATTTGTTTTTTACATTCCACATCTTTATTCCATCTTTTTGCTTTACATGACTTAACACAAAGTATTTTATTAAACACGAGATGTATTATTAGGACTGTGCAATCAATTATTATCATTTTATCATTCCAATTAGCAGCAGACATTCTAATAATAATAAAATGGGGAGGTAATACTTGAAAGAAAGAACTTTTTATAGGCAATGTCAGTTATTTCCTATCATTCATCAAACTACCTGTATTTATTTTTATTTATTTCAAATTATCTATCTTTCTAAGAGAGGAAAAAACCCAAACAATACAATTTTTCAAACAGGGCATTGCTATAACTACATAACAAATGCCCTAAAAATAAATTAAAAAATAATCTGTCATTGACAATTCAATAAACTTTAACTCCTCTTGTTATTTCTGAATCTCAACACAGCAAACTTGTTAAAAACTGACCAAATCTTTATATCTACAATTCAAAAAAAAATTTTATTTTCTGCATTAACAACCCTTCTGGTTTACTTATCTTTGTATTCAAATAAACATTATTTAATGATTAATAATGACAATTTAGATTAAGTACTAAATGCACAATTTGTATATCACTTTATGAATATGCTTTTGCATGGATCACATTACATTATATCTGCCACAAAGTTTGGGTACATGTAGTACAACAGGTCTATCATCCTTTTGTGTTGATGTAAGTACCACTGTACCTAATGCCACATGAATGGAATGTTGCATCATGGTCCTGAGACTTGAACAGTGAACACACTTGGCTATGAATCATCTGGATCTGCTAAGTATTTGCCTAAAATATAACATCAGGGCATATTACATATCATTACAAATTAAAAATAAACTATATAGTTGCTTACATCCATATCTTTTGGACTTCATTGGATTGTTGTCTCATTGGCAATCATACCACATCTCCTCATTTATATAATTCAACTTTAAGTCTTCAGAGTCAAATTAGTTTACCTGCAAATCTAAATCATGAGGAGTTTCATTTATCTGATTTGTCACCATGATTGACCTACACGAGTTTATCCAAAGTTATCTATTTTGATGAAAAAAACTATATAATGTAAGCTTGCAATGGAGTAAAACACTCCCTGAACACAGCATGGATAGATAAATACAATAATAGTTACATAACATTAATACAATCAAAGCTCCATATTTGTAAGGTACTGGTATTGTCAATTTTCTATGACTGGCTTTGACAAACATTTTGAACAAAGATATACTAAAAGCGTGTTACTGTGCTGTTTTAAATAAACAGTTGACACAGAGTTGTGACTTGCCTGTACATAGTTTTGATGCTTTATTGCAAATGCTGAAATCTAAGTAACAACATTTAAACTTTCAAATTCAGTGAACAATGATTGATGGTATGGTCACTAGAAAAGGAACCCATTAGGCTTGCCTCCACAATTATGTTGAGGCGTTTTTATGAAAAATAATATACTTAAGGAACTGACCTAGCCAGACAAAACAAATAAATCTCTGTAGTACTATATTACACACTTATCTGTAGTACTATATTACACACTTCTCTGTAGTACTATATTACACACTTCTCTGTAGTACTATATTACACACTTCTCTGTAGTACTATATTACACACTTCTCTGTAGTACTATATTTCACACTTCTCTGTAGTACTATATTACACACTTCTCTGTAGTACTATATTACACACTTCTCTGTAGTACTATATTACACACTTATCCACACAACATATAAAAATCTTGGTAAACAAGGAATTAAACTGCCACACTTATCGTATAGGAAATTTTTTCAGTTTTCCGATAATTTAAGAAATCAAAGAAATTTATTTGAGATCATCCTGTCATGTTTGTGAGACCATGAAGCTGACTAATGCTAGTCTAATAAATATAAACAGAAGAGCAAAACGTATATCATTACTTGAAGCAAATATCTACTTGTAAAAATGTTTTGCATAAACTCTTCTTTTGTAATTATTTCATACATTAAATCATCCTTTTTTATTTTTGTTACCTGCTCCAAATCTTTTCTTTGCAAGAGATATCCTATATCCAGACCCTATTAATTCAAAGTCTATTCCAGATAATGATGCTCCTTCACATATAAATTGTACTGCAGCCGTGGCAGGTTTACTAGGACCTGATTTTAAGTGGAATTTAGCTCTAACACAACCTTGTCCTGCTTCTTCACTAACTTCTGATATATCATTTAGTTTCCACATTCCTCTTTGGCTTTCTTCATTCCTGAAATCAAACATTGAAAAATTCCTCTGTTAAGCTTCAATAATATTTGGTTGGTTATCACTGCAGACATTGATCCATCTAAGACTTAAGGAAACCATTCCTTTGGTTAAATAGTGGTTTGCCATCTGTTTGAGAAGTTACTCACGATTTTATTTGCTTGAACTTATAATTAACTGGCCGGCCACTATTTGTAAACTTATAAGCAAACTTACATGGGGATAAAAATATTACTTTAAAAACAAGAAAGGATTATTGAAAATAGCATGCTGTGAATCTGTAGACAGTGGCAGATCCAGAACTTTTCATAAGGGGGGGGGGGGACGCTGACTGACCTAAGAGGGGGGGGGGGGGGGGCGGCCACTCAAGTCATGCTTCAGTGATTCCCTATATAATCAACCAAATTTTACCCACGAAAGGGGGGCCCGGGCCCCCAAGGGCCCCCCCTGGATCCGCCTATGGTAGAATAAAAAAGAAGTTACATATGGGACTTTGCAATAAACTTAGACAAAAGATGTAATAATATATGATTAAACAACTGACTTCATCACTTTTTAATCTGAATTACTAAACTTTGAACATAAGTAATCTCAAAGTCCAACAAAGATATCAATCTTACATTGAATTAAAAGATATATAGAGTAATAGTTATTTTTTCCATCTGGTTAGCGAGAAACTGCCCTTATCATGAAAACTTTACTGAAATACAAAATTCAGGTCAATTCAAGTGACACTGTCAAGTGAACATGTACACCTAATAACAAATTTTTCAAAGAAATAAGGTTTACTTTTAATGTACAGTAAATTTTAAGAAAATGACAATATACTGAAAACATAATGCAGACTAGTTGACATTGAAAATGAAATCAAGGTCAAATAACATCTACAATACAAACAAGTCAACTTAAACCAAAAGACAAACCAAGTTTCCCTTCAAGTAATCTACCTATAATGAGTGATACACAACCTAATCTTGGAAATTTAACATGCACTTCAGTGCCAGGCAATAATGAGGTCAAAGTTACTGTGATATGTCAGACTGACAAGGACCCTTTTTAAATCCTTTATTACAACATATAATTAGGTATAGGATGTCTTGGTGTACTGTATTATGAGAAATAGACCATTCAGGTAACTTTCATGTTAAAATAAATAGAATATATGCAATTCATAAACTTTCACCAATAATCATTGAGTAACCATGAATTAGGTTCCTGATCCAATACAAGTATCAACTTACCACACTCCTTCAGGTGTACTTTTCATGCTAGTAACTTCTCCACTGACTGGAATCATTAGAGATATATTTTTTAATGTTGATGGGTTGGACATTGGTAAAGGATTAAATTTATAATCTAATCGTATATCTGTATGAGTAGGTTCACACTTCCAATACACAACCAATGGCAATGGACAACTACCGACACCAGACAATGCTTTAGCCTACAAGTAAGTAAAGGATTAAATTTGTAATCTAATCGTATATCTGTATGAGTAAGTTCACACTTCCAATACACAACCAATGGCAATGGACAACTACCCACACCAGACAATGCTGTAGCCTACAAGTAAGTAATGAAATCATCTTCGTAATTTACATTTTATATGTGTCCTTTTACTCAAATATTGTCAGTGCCAATTTTATAATAAATCAAAATACTTAATTGTTTGAAAAACTTTTAAAAATGTTGTTTATATTCTAATTCTATTTTAACTTAAATTCAACAACAAAGACTGACTTCTTCCCTGAAGATCTCAAGTAACATCCACTAATTCTAATTATCAATTTTACTTAATATAATGATCATTTTATTCATGTCAATTCTTTATGGCTGATATCAATAATCTTTTATCAAAAAGGAGGCCTAATCTCAATATTCACTTTTTAATACTGTTAATATTGCACTTTTTTTTTATTAATGTCTTGTAAGGACTGAATGAACTTAATTCAAATTCTTGCTCTGTATTTGATATCAAAGCTTAGATGATCCTTGTTGAGGAAGCTAATTTAACATAGGATTCTTAAAATGTTTACCTGGTACTTCAGAATATCAATATTAAAATATGAGGCAGTTTTATTTTCTTCTCCTTGGGTTTTCAGATGTCCACATAAAGCGGACATATCAAAATGGTATGAAAGACTATCTGATGAACTTTGGTCAACATCTCTGAAATGAAAAAAATATAAAGAATTAATATATATCAAACTCTGTATGAGTGAAAATCTATATGCCTAAATCAGCAAACAAACATTCTCATAAGGGGGTACTTAAATATAAAGATAAGAAAAAAGGGGCCAGCAAATGAAGAAAAAGAATGACCCCAAAATTTAATGAAAATAGAAATGAAGACCCCCCCCCCCCCCCCAATCTATACCCCTATATCTAATTTTAAAATCATATATACATTTCAAATAACAGAGTAAAATTAAATGTTACAATGTATGATCCCACAGTGCAATTATTAATCATCAACAAAGGATCTTAAAATCATATTAACAAACAAACAACATCTTCAATAATAAGCAAGGAATATAGTATATGTACAATTGTATAATCCAAATACTTACTGAATAACGAGCTGCTGATTGAGTAGTACTTGTTCTAATCGGTCGGTATTTTTGATTCTAAAACTTAAGAGTGCAGGTGATGGATTTTCTGTAAAGACTTTAACAACACCAGCTGGAAATGACATCATCACATTTCCTGTTATCTTCACCATACATCTGTAAGAGACCATTTTAACTTTAGTTATATTTTATACAAGCACAAATGAATATTTATATATCAATTACATTAATAAAATGCTCCGCAGGGCGCAGCTTGATACGACCGCAGAGGTCGAACCCTGAACAGTCGGGGCAAGTATGGACACAACATTCAAGCTTGATACAGATTTGCATTTGGATTGTGATTAAATATTTGACACAGCATAGGTTTCTGACACAGAATGAATGTGGTCTAAGAACTTAAAAATTTTAAATTGGACATTCACCTATTATGGTCCAATATCCAAAATCTAAATACATGGTTAGATTCAGCATATCAAAGAACCCCAAGAATTCAATTTTTGATGAAATCAAACAAAGTTTAATTTTGGACCCTTTTGACCTCAATGTGGACAAAGTTGATAATGGGGCCCAAAAATCAAAAATCTAAATACATGGTAAGATTCAGCATATCAAAGAACCCCATATATTCAATTTTTGTTGAAATCAAACAAAGTTTAATTTTGGAACCCGATTTAGACCAACTTGAAAACTGGGCCCATAATCAAAAATCTAAATACATGTTTAGATTCAGCATATCAAAGAACCCTAAGAATTCAATTTCTGTTAAAATCAAACTAAGTTTAATTTTGGACCCTTTGGACCTTAATGTAGACCAATTTGAAAACGGAACCAAAAATTAAGAATCTAAATACACGGTTAGATTCGGCATATCAAAGAACCCCAATAATTCAATTTTTGATGAAATCAAACAAAGTTTAATTTTGGACCCTTTGGACCTCAATGTGGACCAATTTAAAAACGGGGCCCAAAATCCAAAAACTAAATACACGGTTAGATTCAGCATATTAAAGAACCCCAAGAATTCAAGAATAAAACCCCATTGAAATTGGTCAAGAAATAAGCAATTTATACGAAGTATCTTCTTTTGCACAATACTGTGCAATTAAATATTTCTTGCTATTGCGCAATACTGTACAATTGACAATTTCTTGCTATTGCGCAATATTGTGCTATTGGATATTTCTTGCTATTGCGCAATACTGTGCAATTGAAGATTTCTTGCTATTGCGCAATACTGTGCAATTGAAGATTTCTTGCTATTGTGCAATACTGTGCAATTGAAAATTTCTTGCTATTGCACAATACTTATTATATAATAATTTACACATCCTGTTTGGTGTGTATCTCCTACCATATCATTATTATTTGCTTTTAAATATAAATCAGAAATAACCAACTTAAAATGGAAAATTTTAAAAGAAAAAAAAAAGGAAAAGAAGAAAAAAAAGGAAAACCCCCCCCCCCCCCCCCCAAATTTTTTGAACCCCCTTATGATTCATCACCCCCAAACTCAATCCCAGCCTTCCCTTTGTGGTATGGTACCTTGCAGTACAATTTCAGAGAGATCCATACACTTGGAACACAAGTTATTGTCTGGAAACTAGAAAAATGTGTTTTTTGGCCCCTTTTTGGCCCCAAATTCCTAAACAATTAGGGCAATTACCCCCAAACTCAAACCCAGCTTTCCCTTTGTGATATGGAACCTTGTAGTACAATATCAGAAAGATCCATACACTTACACACAAGTTATTGTCCTGAAACTAGAAAAATGCTTGTTTTTTGCCCCTTTTTGGCCCCTAATTCCTAAAATATTGAGGCAATTACCCCCATCATCAATCCCAGCCTTCCCTTTGTGGTATGGTATCTTGCAGTACAATTTCAGAGAGATCCATACACTTGAACACAAGTTATTGTCTGGAAACTAGAAAAATGCTTATTTTTGGCCCCTTTTTGGCCCCCAATTCCTAAAAGTTTCAGCAATTACCCCTAAAAACAATTCCAGCTTTTCCTTTGTGATATGGAACCTTGTAGTACAATTTCAGAAAGATCCATGCACTTACACACAAGTTATTGTCATGAAACTAGAAAAAATGCTGTTTTTTTGCCCCTTTTTGGGCCCATAATTCCTAATATTTTGAGGCAATTACCCCCAAAATCAATCCCAGCATAATTTTGTGATATGGAACCTTGTGGTACAATGTCAGAGAGATCCATACACTAACACACAAGTTATGTCTGGAAGTTACAAAAATGCTTATTTTTGGCCCCTAATTCCTTTACTGTTGGTACCATAACCCCCAAAATCAATCCCAACCTATCTTTTGTGGTATTGAACCTTGTGGTAAAATTTCATAGAGATCCATTTATTTAAACTAAAGTTAGAGTGCGAAAACCAATGTGTCTTCGGACGACGCCAGACGACTTCGACGACGCCAAAATTTTTTTGCGGTCGTATAATAATATATTGCTCTGTTTATAGTGTTTGGGATGTTTAATATTAATTTACCAATCTCACTTTCCTGATGAGTTCTGAGTATTTCACATTGAAGTCCAGTACTTTTTCATTTACACCATTTGTGTATTTTTTTTTACTTTGTCTTTCCAGTTACATTTGAAAATGCAACTAGACTTAATAAACTAAATTAAGTAAATCTTTACAATATTGTCAGAAGTATTTCATTACCTGGATTTTCTTTAAATGACACAGACAGTGAATATCAGCCAATATCCCCTGTGAAGCCCCATATAACAATTATGTCATAATGGAGTACTCTAATTTCAACATTAATATCCATTCTGATCTTCGTTTTTGTTCACAAGAGTATATGGTCTCATATGTCTAGTCAAGTTAACCAATCAAATTGCAAGAACAGCCAGGATATTTCACTCCAGTACAATATATAACAATATTACTTACTTTGTAGCATCTGTTCCTCTGAAGAGTGAATTAATAGTTTCTGTAAAAGCTATAGCTAGTGGAACTGTATCAGACATGCCTATAGTTAAAGGACTTGGTCCACGTGATGCTCCAACTGGCATGGATGTGGTACTGAATGTAACACTGCTACTACTCTCTGACCGTGACATGAAAGCTGGACTAGTTCTTCCTCCTGCTGTTACACGAGCTGGAACCTGACAAAAAAGGTCCAATTACAAAAAACTGTCAAATTTGTATATTTATGTCATCATCAGGACCAGGGAAAACTGATCTTATAAAAGAGGTGACCTTAAAATTGAAGTTCAAAATTGTAGAAATAACAACACTGGGACAAAAAGAGGGTGACCTGACATGACAGGTTTACGTTTAATAGAGGTGACCTTTACAGCTCATTTGACTCTATATTATTTCCATGGAGACTTTAGTTCTATATCAAAGTAAACATTATTTTTTTTAGAACAGTAACTAGACATATATAATGTTAATAGTAACTAGACCTATCTAATGTCAACAGTAACAAGACCTAGACCTATCTAATGTCAACAGTAACTAGACCTATCTAATGTCAACAGTAACTAGACCTATCTAATGTCAACAGTAACTAGACCTATCTAACGTCAACAGTAACTAGACCTATCTAATGTCAACAGTAACTAGACCTATCTAATGTCAACAGTAACTAGACCTATCTAATGTCAACAGTAACTAGACCTATCTAATGTCAACAGTAACTAGGCCTATCTAATGTCAACAGTAACTAGACCTATCTAATGTCAACAGTAACTAGACCTATCTAATGTCAGTCATATTTGTTTTGATGGCTGACACAATATATCTTCTATCCTTTCACACTAAAAAACACTGAGAGCTAAAATATAAGTAGAACTTTGTATAGAAAGAAGTTTAAATACATGTCCATATTTTCTAAAGGACAGCAAGAATGTTACAGTACAAAGCACTACATGTTCTACATCATTAGCCAGTAAAGGCAGCTACCCTACATACCTGTGGAGCTATTGCTGATGTCCGTGACGGAGGTCGCTGAGGTGGCATTGGTAAATTAAAACTACCATTCAAAGAAGAGGTAAGTTGACTGGATGCTGATGATATATTATCAGGTTTGGATTGAAGACTAGTTGATGGACTAATACTACCATTTAATATATCTGATGCATCTACGTTTAATATATCTGATGCATCTATAGAAATAAAAACAAAAGTTTTTTGTTGTATAGGTAACAGTGGAATTAATCACTAGTCAATATATTTTAATCCAAACTAAGCTTCATATTTTTCTGACATTGATAACTTGTATATCAAGGTGGTACCAAACACCTTGACTAAAATTAATTTGGCTCGTATAATTTTCATAAAATTTTGACGAAATATTAACTTTGACCCTTTGACAAAAATATAAAAATTTCAAACAACCTGAACCACACACTTTATCGTGAAAACTTCATTAGATATATAGCAGTTTGACAAACACTAATTTTGATCATTGAGAAGCTTAATATTTCCTCAACAATAGAATGTGATTATAGCGTTCAGCTGATTTTTACAGAGTTATCTCCCTGTAGTGTTATGTACCACCTTAATGTGTAGATAGGCTGCAGCTTCTTTACTTTTTAGTTTTGGGTGTTGTTTAGGTGTGCAATTCATTTACAATACTAGCAGTTTTATCTTCATAACTACTTAATCTACAAATACTCACTTGGATTTGAAGCAGGAGTACTAGAAAGACTATTGGATATGTCTGCCATAGGAGACAATGGTGATGGGAGGTTAAATCCACCTCCAACAGGTGTAGATGACGTAGAGGAACTAAAAAAATCTAAGTTTAGAAGGTCCAGGTTTTGGCTTGGACGGGATTCTCTGTAATATATCAAGAAATATGTAAAATTTGTAAATCTGGGTAAATCAGTTGCAAAAAATGTTTAAACAAGGAAAAATAGTATTATATTGTTTCAGATGAAAATACTAAAAGAATGATGATTTTTTTCAACAGTTAGACAAAAATATAAAATGAAAATAATCTGATTACTATTTTTCTTCTTTTTTTTTTCTATACATGTATATCGTTATATACTGTAAATTAAGAAATTGTTGCATGCATTTACTATTGCTACTTTGAAAATGGACAAACATGAGAGCTTAATTATTGCTATTTCAGAAAAATCTGCATACAGATATAATTATATATATGTATGTACCAGTTATCAGAATGTGAGTTCTTAATATTGAGATACTCACCCAGTCACATTATTCACATTAATAATCAAAGAGCTGAAAGCTCTGAGGAAAAATGACGCCACTGTCTCTAATATTGTGATATTTTTTATGCAAGTCTTGATTTTCACATACCGTAATTAGTTTAACATTCCAACATGTCTCGTAAGCATATAATTGATATTCGTATATGTGTGTGTTATGTGAAGATGACAACTGGCTGTTTTTTTAGTACAAATGTATAGGTCAAGACTACCTGAATGATCTACAGTATCCAATGACTACTGGCTGTTTTTTTCTATAAATAAATAGGTCAAGACTACCCGAATGATCTACAATAGCCAATGACTACTGGCTGTTCTTTTGTACTAATAAATAGGTCAAGACTATTTGAATGATCTACAATATCCAATGACTACTGGCTGTTCTTTTGTACATATAAATAAAGACTACCTGAATGATCTAAAGTATTCTAAGTAATGTGATTTTTGTCTTGCAATTACATTTTTCTAAATCAAGAATATAGACTACTAGCATCCTTTTCAAACCAAATGATTATGAAGAGCCTGTTGTTATCAAGCTCTTATACCCCACATACTCATTAAATAAGTTACTAGTGACCTAGTTAATTCTGTTACTTGAAGCAAATTATTTCTGTAGATTTAGACAATAGTATAATATTGTTTTTCTAGTTTTATTTCACCTTGAAGATTAGACAAATAGGGATACTCCTTTGATTTTTTATTTCATGTCAGTCAGGTCGCTTTATATGAAACTTGAAACCACTTCTCTGCCATATTGTTATTTCATAACAACTCTGCCCTTGACCATGTTGACCCATGTAATTGATATTCATTCTTTAACCATATATCATAGTCAGTTAGTTTTTGATTTTGCACTCCCACACCACCTTTCAGGTCAAATGTCTGTCTCCATTTAAGTTAATGACATTGAACAATCATGGTATTAAACACAATTTCAATAGTGATAATGCTGTTCTAGTAGGTCACCATATATTCAACTTGGGTAGCATTCCAGTTATTGAAATTTGTGTCAGATTAGAACAATGATCTAGACCTTTAGGAATGGATCTTACAATTTAATATGGAGCCATAGTATGGGACCCTACTCGGTAACAAAAAAAAAAACAAGCTTGAAAGGATACAACGTCAAGCGGCAAAATCTATCACCAGAAATTACAAGTCAAGAGAGGATGGACGGGATATGTCTCTAAAATGCTTGCCTAACTGGAACTACAAGAAGATCTCCAGACAAGACGAACAAGGATATGAAGCCAGAAGTTAATATTTATGTAAAAAGTAGTTGAGGGGCTGACTTCCGCTATTGAACCATACTGTCATTCTACAATATTATTGTGTAAGTATTTCTGTATTGTCCTTGTTATTGGTCCATGTCTTGGTGTATTGGTCTGAGGCGAAGCCGAAGGCCAATACTGCTGGCCGAGGACCAACAATAAGGCCAATACAGAAATACATGTAATAGTATCTTTATTAATTAACTACAGTGTTACAATATTTTTTTATTTCATTTCACAAGAGATAAACATTTTTACCTTGAAGTGGAAGTATCCAAATCTCAGTTTCTTTTTATAAGATGCAATATCTAATGATTTGGTGCCGTTTCCATGTATCTTCAGCCTTTTCTCATCTGATAAATTTTTCTACCCTTTCCAGTCACTATAAAGTGTTACAACTTTAATTTAGACACAACACATAAATAGTAATTGGAAAGGTACTGCCATTGCATGTGTAATGCAAATATATTTAAAAAAAAATAATGTAAGAGTTGAAATTGATACAACTATCCCTAAGCCAATTGACCAAAGAACGAAGATTTGCGCAATTACAGAATGCATATGCCTGGTTCGGGTTTAAAAATAAAAGACCGTTTACAAAACATGAGAAGCGAAAGTAAACAGTAAAAATCGATTTGTACCATCGACATGATGAAATTATGAGGTCGTCAAGAAATGAACTTTGTGATAATTTACTCGTTCCCCAAACCTGAAATAATTCCATCGTCTACTTTCAAAATGCTTTTCAAATGAATGGGACCGTCTTTAACCTAAAATATATGCCATACTGAACGTTTCAGCTTGTTTATGGTGAGTAAATAAAAACTGCGTCGTACAAACAAATTTTTTCTTTCAGTTTGAGTTTATCGTGACTTACAATCTAAAAACTAGAGACGTTCCGAAATCCTGTTTTGGCCGGATCAGAACTCGGCCAATACGGGAAAAAAATCTGTATTGGCCGAGTTGACATGCAGTTTCCATCATATTAAGTACAATAACAGTGTAGTTAATTAATAATGATACAGTTACAGACTCTGCTGCTATAACTTTGTAAACAAAGATTCATACGCACCGCGTGGGTATAACCGTATTACTAATGTCCGATTATTAAAATCTTCGTAAATCTGGATAAAGACCAGTTTCTATCCAATGGATATCAAAATGATTCCGATTATTACTTTTTTAATGATTGTTAAGTTGAAATGGCATGAAAGGCTGACATTATTTCGGAGAACTATTTTGTCTAGCGATTGCTGATCATTGGAGGGTAAAAAGTCCAACACCATAACAAAACGGATCTATTTATCATGTATACATACCGAGTGTTTACGATTGTAAGACATGTGCATAAAAGTGAAAGCTCGAATAAATATGAAAAATATAACAAAGGGATAGCTCCAAATACCATTTAATAACAAAAAACATATGGACAGGTCAAGATATCTTTTTTGGTAAATAAAATAACGTATGTAAGCTGGATCCCGTCCGACTACAACACTTTGTTCGAGTGTAGCGTAATACAAGCAGATTCCAGTTAGTATGTAAAATAGTAAATATGAAACCGAGTGCGGTAGGCGGAGGTATAATCAACTTCCGTTAGTTCTGGTCAATGGTATCGGAAACATGCCGCTGATAGCGTCATTTTCCAAAAACCTTGCAATTATTTCTGAATTTACATAAGTCTAACAATAAAAGAGTTTGTAATTGTAATGACAATTACGATAAAACGTACAAAAAAAAATTAGTTTTAACAAGCTATTTTTCTTCAATTTGGAAAAATTGCTGATTAATTAAATAATTAACCCTCTGTAAAGCAAAAATAATTTGTAATTGTATCATTACCCCAAGGTATCCGATTCTGACTGGGATCTTTTCATTTTCTTGTCTACAGGTGTCTGAGCTCTCTTCCTCTGTAATGTATGAACACTATATATATACACACTAGTTGTTATCAAAATAAGTTCTAATTTATATAACACTGATACTAAGCAATTGAAACCTCCTATTACAAGTCTCCTTATATCATTCTTAAGACCATCTAAATATTTTTAATTAAAATCCTATATGTTGACTATGAAATAAGGAGAGTTCGAATAAAGCAGATTTAAGCAACATTATAATTTTCTAAAAAAATAATAGTGACAAATATTTTTTTTAATAAGGCCTAATAAATGTAGGGGGAAGGGGTTGTATGAAGGCACTTTTTATTTAACGCCGCCATGCATACAATTTTAATTGATTATTTTTTATAATTGTTAAGACTACCTATCTTAAATAAACACCGCCCATCAAATTTTAATAAAAGCACCTTTCGATCACCCCTTTCAATTAATTCTGAAAAAAGCCCTAAAATGAATCATTATTTTGAATTTTAATGTTGACAGCTAAACCAAAATTACAGCATAGAAACTACTGTCCACAGACATACATATAACAACAAAAATAATCAGTTAATCATATATCCATGCATATTACAATGTACAACAATAAAGAATCTCCTTTTTCAGAGAATCCACAACATACTTGTATAAAAGTACTTACCACAGCAGTAGGAGAAAGCCTTAATCCAACCATTTTTTCTTTGATCTCATCCACAGTGCCAGCCTGTAGTGGACCATTAGGACTTAATGGTCGGATTTCTACTTTTATTTTACGTTTACTCTCATCATCTATAAAAAGGCACAGATTTTTTAATAATTAACATATTAATTTGAGAAACTTGTTTTAATCAGGTTCATTAAAATGTATGTTATACTAACATGTGATACAAATTTCAATATGCATGATCTTGATATTTCTGGATAATCTTGATTAGGTATATTCATTACTAAATTTGACAAACTAAGTTTTACAAGTCAAATCTAAACAACCTAAAAAACACAGCTAAAATTGTCTAAATTACCAATATACAATAGAATTTTGATTTCGAGAAAATCAGTGACTAGAACACCATAGATTTTTAGACTGCTGTAAATGAGATAGATAGCTTAGATGGATATTACAGCAGCTGGAGAAACAATTGAATATTTGGTATTTATATACTAACTAATTAAAAATGAAAACTCTCATAATAATTGGACATCTGTAGATTTTAAACTAGCCATCACACATCTTATAGACCATCGCACCTCTGAGTCCTCTACAAATACATTTTTATAATCATACCTGAATCAGAGGTAAATCATATCTGAATGATTATACCTGAATCAGAGATTTATCCACCTAAATCAGAGGTAAATCATACCTGAATCAGAGGTTAATCATACCTGAATCAGAGGTAAATCATACCTGAATCAGAAGTTAATCATACATGAATCAAAAGTTAATCATACCTGAATCTGAATCTGAATCACTAGAATTCCAGCTATTTTTATCACCATTATTTTCTAATGGATTATCTGGCCTGATTCTGTAACCATCTTCATCAACCAAACCATCATCCTAAAGACACATTAAAATAAATTTAGAAAAATTAATATAAACAGGCGATGAGTGAATTTTAGTAGGAAAAACCCATACAAATATATTGCCAGGGCTCACATTACTTCAGAATCATAGGGAGAAGTGACTTCTCTTTTTACAACTTACTATCATGCGGTAGATTTTTTTTTTCTTACCATTTAGCACATCATTAAACTGTGAAGTTAAATTGGTGTCCTATGTTAATCAAGCTTTGTTCAATTGTTAAAGAGATATTCTTTATCATTTAATTTACAATTTAGTGATGATTTGGTATTTTTGCAATTGAAAATAATGAACAAAATATAAACTTACCCCTTCAAGAGTGTCTCTGCAAAAGACAGTAAAAAAGAAATTGAGAATTGTATCTATCTGATGTTTTTACAAAAGACTTGTAAAATATAAAACTAAAGATCAAACATAAAAATATATAGCGATACTGTGGATTTATTATTATTCATGGTGTGCCAATATTCTCTTGGGTAAAATGAACCACAAGTTTAAGTACAAATTTCCTATTGACTTGTATGTAGAAGTTTGGCAAAGCCACCAAACCAAGTATCCACAAAGTTACTGTTTTTCCTCAATCAATGAAATAAACAAATAATTAAATCCACTTTCATCGAATCAAAACACTCCTCATTTAGGTATTTAGTTGCAATATAATTATTTCCATTCTAGAGTAACAGCATATAAGAGGGTATAATTTGTGTGAGTTCATGCATTATTAACATGACAATATAAACAGTCAATATGAGCAATGAGTCGAATCAGGTCCTAAATTTAAAACAGTATAAGCTGAGGAACAATTTCTCAGTCAATCATTCATATTTTGAAGCGCATAGTGCTGGGATTACATGTAGATATCTTAGAATTGTGACTAAGACCTGTTTCTTACTATTTAAAAATAGCCAAATAAATTCTTCTTCTGAAGACAGCACTGAATGACTGATATAGGACAGTGTATTCAAACAACAATTGGGGAAATCATATGTCTTTCTGTTAACAAAGAGACTTATTCATATGCACATATTGTTTTTGAACAAGTAATAAGTCTAGTGTGTTTTTTTTTTGGTAAATGAATTCCTAACTTTAAAACTAATTTCTGTAAAGGAATTAATGAAAACAAAGTTTTACCTGGAAAGTATTTACAAATTAGTAACATACTCAATACAGAAAACATAACAATATGATGTTCATTTAATTGCAGATATCAAAGTGTTGATTAAAACAGCTTGAAGAATTGGTAGAATATACTTCCTGGTCAAGCAATTTGATTAAAATACAGATCATATGTTAGATCTTCACTTTCAAGGATCTATTTTCTGTTCTAACAGTTATTACATCGACCAATGAAATTTCGTCTCCCAAATATTGAAGGTGTGTATCATTAAAACAAAATTTGATGAACCCAAAAGGTCTTCAATACAGAAAGTAGAAGACAGCGTTATCAGATCCTTGTAAGCGTGGACACACGATCTGTATTTCAATGAGATTGAAGGTCAGGGTGAAGGGTCCACAGGACAATAATGTTCATCAAGGTTGTCATTTGTAAAAGAGATGAAAAAACAGATCTTAATAAATTTGAATTATCACAATCATTTGACCTACTAGAATAATATAAGAAATAAAGCAGATTCTTTATCTTAATAAAATTTAAATGTAAGTTTATTGAGGTGGTGCTCTGGTCATTCATTAGGTTTGACAAGCATCATGCTTTCCTACCTGCCACCAGGGCTGAAACATTGCCACATAAAACAATTAATATATATGCATACAATTAACATTAAATGTATAATACAAGCTTTCTTCTTGAAATAATCTTATCAGACCTACATTTGTCTGTATGGCAATATCCTCATCCAGACTAGTGCATATCAGTTTTGTAATAGTACAGATTCATTCATTTTTCATGGGCACCAATTTAAATATACCCTATAGTAAATTTGTATTTTGTTGAACAATTATAAAATTTTGGTTCACATTTACTAATAAAATTCACGAAAATTAGTACCAATGGAATAATAATGTATATGGTTACTGATCTTATTTTGGTTTGCTATTTATACAAAAAGCTTTACATATACTGAATAACTAAATGATTAGAGATGATTGATAACTTGTGTTTAATAAGACTATTTATTCTATAAATTTACGCTAAAAATTGTAAATCAATACATATTGTGAAATCTTTAAACATAACAACACAATGATGGTAAATAAACAGGAAGACATTTTAACATATCTCTCTATTTGTTCTACTTTTATGGCTTAAGTATTTGTGAAAATCAGTACAGATAAATAAAAAGGAAGTTATAACTAAGGACCTATATTTCATATTGCAATTTGAGAAATTAAACATAAGCACAAATATGGTACATGCATATCCCTATTCCTCAATTAATAACTATAAATTGTTGACACAGATATATCTCGCCTGTATCAAATTTTAGAGGTGCCAATGTTTATACAATTGTGTACCAAATATCATTGATTTACCCTTAGTGGTTCTCATTAAACTGACCAAATCATAAACTTTAATAAATTATTGATTTTGCCATGACACCACAGACGCCACCGCCGCCTGAAACAGCATACCTAAGTCTCACATTTTTGACTCAATTAAGGCAAGAAAAAAATAACAGAAACTAGCTACAATGACAAATACGTTATGAATCCATTACAAGCCTGAAGTACCCCCAGAGCATGTTAAGATACTTACACAGATTCTGTGTCTGCTTTATCATCGTTGCTTTTGTCATCTTTGTCCTTCTTTTTCTTCTTCTTCTCTTTCTTTCTGTTCTTCTTTAAGAACCCTTTAAAACAATCAGAATAACTGCAGGTTGGTTCATACTGTACGACAAGATTTTAGGTTTATTTATGTAATTTATACATGGGAAATTGCATTCTTGAAAATTGAATATTTCATCTGAATTTATAAGACATTATAACATAAGCATTTATGAGGAATGGGATCATCTGGGAATCTGCATGCAACCCAAAATATACATGTCACATTTAAAGGCATACTATGCTATATTTTTTCAGCAATACAGTGATCATAGATACTTAGTACAACATCATTTTTACATTAAAAAACTTTGTGACTTTTTTACTTAAAGGTTAGGTGCACCCTTACCATTACTAGGACTAAACATGCAACAATGTTAAACATACATTAATTATGATCCTATAAAGTGTTTGACAGTAAATCTAAATTTTATAAAATGAATACACTAATTATATGTTTTATCTATATGCATTAAATAGTGATGTATAAACAGAGTCAGCTTTGGTCATGACAGAATTCTATAGAATCATGCTATACATAAGCAAGCATTTACAAATAGGAAGTGAAAACTTGTATAAACTTCTTATTATGCATTGGCAATCTTTTTATGTATGATTGAAAAATAAGTTATTTTGTAAAAATAATATAGGTGCATAAAATGTAAAATTAAAACTAAATGTTACGGAACGACACGAATGGCCCCATTCGCAAAAAAGCTTGGAGCCATTTTTTGGAGTGATAATTTGAGAATGAAAGTCTGTACAACAGTTATTTTTCACAAAATTTTCAATGTCCAAAGCCCATAAATCAGTGGAGCAGAACCAAACATAAACTTGATCTGTAACTTATCATAGTAGACTCACATATTAAAAATCAGCTCAATATGTGAAGGCGTTTAGAAAAATAGTCTGTATAACTACTATTTTCATGAAATTTTCAAAGTCCAAAGCCCGAAACATTTGCAAAAATCAGCGGAGCAGAACCAAACGTAAACTTGATCTGTAACTCATCATAGTTGACTCACATACTAAATATAAGCTCATTATGTGAAGGCGTTTAGAAAAAAAGTCTTTATAACTGTTTGTTGCAGAATGATGGAATGACGGACAAGGGTAACACTATATGGCCTAACAACTTTGTTGCGGGGCCATAAAAATAATTAATAAAAAGACAGTTCAGTACTTTGTAAAAATGCATCAGATGAAATGTATATTTCATATCAGTATTAACCCTAGTAAAGACACAATTATTATTCTGAGCTAACAAATGTACTATCAGTATTATAAAAAGGAAATTTGTTTAGAGTCACAACTGACTGTTGCAAAAAAGTGAAGTTGTTCATTCATTCAAACTAGCTATTAAACATAAAACTCTTGTCAATATTAATTTAAGAACCTGAGAAACAGAATTTTATGGTTTTCAAGTTAAAATTGTATGGATATATAAATCCATTTGACAGAGATGATCAGATGCATTACCTAGCATAAAAATATAACAAGAGGTCCAAAGGATCCCTCACCTGGCAAATTAACCTCTTAATTGCGCAATAGTTTCTGACAATTTTTTCTTCATATTAATCATATGACTTAGTTTTCATCAATACCTTATAGCTCCAAAACATTTCACATTGAAGTGTCAGGAGAAGATTTTAAAAACAGCCAAATAAAATCAAAGATTGCCGTTAGCAGTCATATTTTTCATCTGATGGAAAGCACTGAGGCTCACTTGAAGTGGCCTTCTATAGATAAGTCTGCCAAGATCAGTTAAAATTGGCCTCGTGGTTACAGAGAAAAAAAATGAAAAAGGACTTTTCCCTAGGATTTTAATATTTATGTACAAATGTTTGCTATTGAATCAACAAATAAACTGTTATCACAGAGATATGTCTCGCCTTTTTGTAATTTTGATAATGCAAATGTTGAAATTAAAATAGCAATACTTTAACATGTAAGTTATGCAAATATTCAAAGTCGATGAACCATGACTGAAGGTACATGGCTAAACAATCTCCATGAAATGAGATGTGCCAATGCTAATACAACTGCATACCAAATACCATTGAATTATTATAAATCGTTCCCTTTAAACAAACCTAAACACAAACATTAACTTGTAAACTATGTAAAAGTTTCAAAGTAAATAGACCATGACTGAGGGGGCGGGGCCAAATATTCTCCATGGAAATGAGATGCGTAATGCTGATACAACTGAACACCAATTAACATTGGCCTACCACTAATAGTTCCCCTTGAACTGACCTAATCACAAACAAATACATGTTAACTTAGCAAAATTTTCAAAGTCTATAGAACAAGACTAAGGGGGCGGAGCCAAATAATCTCCATGGAAATGAGATATGCCAATGCTTATACAACTGCATACCAAATATCATTGACCTACCACTTGTGGTTCCCCATAAATTGACCTAATCACAAACTAATACATGTAAACTATGAAAAGTTTCAAAGTCAATAGACCTTTACTGAGGGGGCGGGGCCAAATAATCTCCATGGTAATGAGATGTGCCAATGCTAATACAACTGCATACCAAATATCATTGACCTACCACTAGTGGTTCACCATGAACTAGACCTAATCACAAACTAATACATTGTTGACGCCGCTGCCGCTGGAAACAGCATACCTATGTCTCGCTTTTTGACTCCGTCAAGGCGAGACAAAAATGAGGATTGTTTGTAAAGGATCTTTTCAGAGTCAGTTCAGAAAACTGTTTCCTTATAATTTTAGGCGTATTTTTTTTTTTAAATTGGCCAATCATCATCTGCCTCTTCCAGCAATGTTTTCTGTTGATTTAAACTTTAGACTCCTGTATAAACAAACTTAATTTAATCTGCATTATTTCAAATAAATTCTACACAACTACTCATATGAATAAGATATGATAGCATTCAAAAGATATAAATAAACAAATACATATAGAATACAATATATTGAAAATTTGCATTTTGATATCTTCATGTATACAGTCAAATCTCTGATGAAGTTAACCACAGTAAGAAGTAACAGAGTATAGCCTTAAAGTCAGGACACGTTATAAAACATGTTAAACTTTAAGCACTCAAGCCAATGCAGTTTTTAACAAATATTGTAACAGTTTACTTTATACTGAAGGTGTAAAATAGACTGTTAGAAGAGATTTTACAGAAACTGCATCCCTTAAATATGAATAATTCATACATCATAAATCTGGGCATCATTTAAACAATTGACATTTAATATTATTAACATGGAGTGTAATTACTTTTGACGAAAATTAGGTGGTTGTGTTTTCAGCAAAAGACTGTTGAAGTGTAAGAAAATTTAAAATTCCCTACTGCCATTTGATATCCTTTAACCCTTTCTAAAACTGGAACAATGGGTTGACGACATAGAATTTCTCACAAGATAGGAAATATTTTATTTCAAAAGCTGTATAATCTGAGACCTAAAATAAAATATGATTTTCATTTTGATACTCAAAAGAGCAAATTTTAAGTAAAAAACTCATCCCTTCTTGTGAAAATTACAAATAAATAATTCACTTTGTTATGGATATAACTGTGAGAACTACATTTTATCTTTCTTTTATGAAGGAAAATTGGCATTTGTGGAAAATGAATTTGTTAGAATCTAAATTATCTGGATACAAGGTGACTGGTGTTCACATTAATCATTGTTAATAATGTTTGTCAAAAGAAGACAGGAATAATATGTAAGCTGAATCTAATAAAATATTTTAAAAAAAAGTTTTCTTTGAGACTTATGTTGTCTTTCTTTGGACAAAGTAAACCTGCAAGTTTTAATTTTTATTGAGTATAATACAATTATAAAAGATAATCCCAGAATTTAATTATGTTTTTTTCAATGAAAAATACATTTTAAGGCTTTACTCCATGGAAAAACCCAACAGTAATATAAGCACAAATAAAATAAAGCTGTATAGAGCAACTAGCTACAAAAGAAATAAACGTAACGGTACTGCCAATAGCAAAACGTACAATTTCTACAACGCATAGATTAATGAAAAGTTAGAGCATGCACACACTGACACACACACCAACTAAAATTAACACAAAAACCAATTAACCATATGCTCACTGACAGCAAGAGTGATAGAATGTACTAATTACATGTTTTGGAAACTCGTAACTTTACACTTCTACTTAGAGGACCAGGCTGGTCAGTTGGAACAGGACTCCCTGTAGAGTCTGTAAAGTAAGGTGGTCAAAGTACAATATTTCATCTTTATTATTTCACAAGTAGATATATTGTTTTAAAGGTTAAGTATTTATCAATGCATTGAATTTTCATCTTTCAAACTCATATCAATATTACATCAAAAAGATTTTTTAATTAATGTCATCTTTTTCAGGATCCATCTATATGAAATTCTGTCTTCAATTAGTCTTACAGGTAAATTCAATTAGTCTTACAGGTTAATTCAATACAACTCACACTACATTAAACTGAATATATTTATTAGAACAGACTTAGTTCATTATTATCCAGATTTTGTATCAATTTATGTTATTTTCCCAATAATTTAAGCACTAATCCTTTTTTCAATCAACTAGTTTTCTCTTCCGCACAGATTTAAGTACTGTTAATCTGAGCTTTTTCTTTTTATCACAGTGATAGAAAACAAGTTTTAAATAACTTGAAAATAAAATGATCACAAAAACAAATAATTCCCACATGAATTAATCTGAAAGATTCTCTCCTTATAGAAAATTAAAATAAACTTTATTATAAGTTTTCAACTGAAAATGTATAGTGAAAATTTGTTTACGTTAAAAAATGGAACATTAAGACAATGGGAACTCAAATTTTTGGTTATTACTTTACAACATTTGACATATGAAATCACACCGTTCCAAATGACTGTTAATTGAGGACAGATCACCACAAAGTAAGGGACACACAATCGTCTAATTTGATGCATCAAATTCTCAAACAAGAACCATAACACATGATCATGTAGATAGAACTGAGAACACGTAGCTGACATTTCATGTTAGGAGGTGATAGGGGAATAAAGCAAACAAAAAAATACACACCCAGGTTTAATATCATATCTGAAAAAGAATGGAAATTATCTTAAAAAAAGTTTCAGCTAAAATATCCATTATTTAGAATAAATTTTAATTCAATTCTGTTGACATTTCTGTAAACAATTTTTTAACTCCTCTCCAATGCCACAGAGATTTGAGCATTGAAAATATCTATAACTAATATCAAATCAATTATAAACTACAAAACAAAATTTGTATTACCTAATTGAAGAAATAATATAGTTACAGACTTTTCCAAAACATAAATGTAAAGAAAAAACTAGAAGAAACTATATGTACCTAATCCTATATAAAAGAACCATCACAATTAACCCAAAAAACACTGTATACATGAAATGTCAGTATTAACCCAAAGCCAATTAAACATCATATTAGTTAGTAAACACAGCATTCGGAAAGCATTTAATAATTATGGTATATTTTAATTTGAAATAATCTGTTCATTTTTCTAAAAGCTGATGTGTTAAAATTAGGCAAATCTTTTGTAGAAATCAGAAATTATTGATCTTAATTATTATAGTCTTATTTTGAATTTGCATATATCATTATATTTTTGTCAGTGTAACAAATTATTTCAGTCTTGAAGTGTACTCTCTATCTCACCTGGTCTACTTTTCTCTGTTATACTTTCTCGCTTAGCCTCTGTTGGTTCTGGTGACATAGGCCTTGGTGCCGGTAAACTGGACAAATCAGGTTCCATGAATTCAAGTGGACCTAAATATACAATGAGACCCATTTAAACTTTATAGATTGGGATCATAAAAAATTGTTAACCATTATGCACAGAGCATTCCTAAAGAACTAATCTTATAATCCATCTAATGCAAGTACTTTTGAAATCTATAGTAGGCTAATAGCATTCTTCTAAGATTAAGGATGTTAAGACTTTTACATTTTCTATTTTCCCTTCTTTTCATTTCCTTTGAAAAATCATCTAATATAATAAATGCACGCAACCTTACAAGTTTCTTACCATATTATTTTTAAAAAAAATCATCTTAAACAATATCATACAAAATAATTCCCAAAACTCCTGTGATTTTTTTATGTAGCTCTAAAAAAATTCCAGAAAAGATTCAATGGTAATTAGTTTAACAAATTTCTGCTGATTCTTCTGCGATATTCAGCTTCAAAGAATTCAAACAAAGTATTTTGCTTCTAAACATTAGGATAAATTTTAGAATATCCCAATACATATCACACGAAGGAATTTATATTTTTCTTATGTTTCCATAACTTTATCCTTCCCAATTCAATTTTCTGCAGCGAATGCAACAGACTCATAATTAGAAATAGCAGTCTTAGGCTAATTAAACTAATCTAGGATGCTCCATGCAACTACAACATGAATAAGTGCACCATTCAATTCAGCATGACACTTATGATATAGTGATTTATAAATACCAAATTTGTATTGTAATAATAAAGAAAATATGCCAAATATAATCTATAAGGGTTCATTTGTTATATTTTTTTTGAAGTGGAAAAGTACAAATAAATAAGGATATTGAACAGAAGTATTTGTAATCCCTTTCCAAAGGACCTGACAATCATGCAATCATACTATAAAAAAAAACAAATTGATAACAATCCCTTTCCTTGAAAAAAAAAGAATGATTTAAATAATGTGCTGCAACTAAAACTGCCAGGAATGATTGGATTTCATAACATTAATAAAACAATTGCAAGCATGAATATAAAATTAGTACCTGTGAATTCCCAGCTTTGTATAGCTGAGCAAAATAATAACATTTTGTTGTAGTTAAATGTTAATGCATTGTGTCTAATAATTAAACATTAATAAATATTTTTTTTAATCACAAAAAAAAATACATTTGACCCAAATTACTAATATATCTTGTTGTAATGTATTTTTTTATTGTCTATATTCTGATATACAGACTTTCTTGTTTGTTCGTTTTCGAGTTGAAAAATCAAATGAAGACTTTTGCATTCTGAATTTATTACATTCAAGGCTGCCTGAAGATTGAGAACTTAAAGCAGTTGTGTCTTTGTCAATGTAAAATGGTTTTAAAAGTTCAGAAAAAATACAAGGTAATTCCTATTTTAAATACAGACATATCTGACTTTTTGAGCTCAATTAATTATGTACCTGGTTTAATTTTTCCTGTTTGTTTTGACTGTATAAATGAATCTAGTAATTTCTGTACAGTCAACTCATCACATGTTGTTTTAAATTCATGGTGCACCTGAAAATGAACAGAATATTTATAGTGATTCAATTTGGCAAAAAATTCACAAACGTTTAAAATAAAAATATCTAGCATGTTGGACCTTCCTCTCTATCATAAACAAGAAGTTGTACACATTGTTGTGCTAAGCCTACCCTCAATTTAATTCAAAAGTATTAGAAAAATGAAGTATGTATCTGACAGATCCCAAAAGTGCTATCATATTACATTGTCAAATGCAGTCCAGACATAAAGTTGTTTTTGTTCTGTAGTACTGGAGAAATGTATCACAAAAATAGTAAGTTGATTCACTATATCGAAAAATTCAAAATATTGGCAGATTCCTTCTCCACATGTGGTACCAGTTGTGATGCTCCTTCACCACATGTGGTACCAGTTGTGATGCTCCTTCTCCACATGTGGTCCTAGTTGTGATGCTCCTTCTCCACATGTGATCCCAGTTGTGATGCTCCTTCTCCACGTGTGGTCCCAGTTGTGTTGCTCCTTCTCCACATGTGGTCCCAGTTGTGATGCTCCTTCACCACATGTGGTACCAGTTGTGATGCTCCATCTCCACATGTGGTCCTAGTTGTGATGCTCCTTCTCCACATGTGATCCCAGTTGTGATACTCCTTCTCCACATGTGGTCCCAGTTGTGTTGCTCCTTCTCCATATGTGGTCCCAGTTGTGATGCTCCTTCTCCACATGTGGTACCAGTTGTGATGCTCATGGCAAGTACATATTCACGAATAGTCTCACTCAGTTCTCATAATCGAGGAAAAAAGGACAGGATTATGGCCAACATTTAAAAACATACCCCTGGTCATCTGTGACACAGATATCCCATAGCAGTCAACCAAATCATAATTGATAAGTTCTGAGTTTATATGATAAAGACACCCATGAATGTGGTATCAAACACTAAATATAAATGTGCTTCATATACTAATATACTGTCATTACCTGTCCTCTCAGTGCATGTTCATTCTCCCAAGCTTTTGCATAGGTATCAATAAAGTCCTTCATTTGACATATATGTTCCTCTTCTACCTCTTGGAAATGCTATAATACAAAAAATTTCAGATAGAACAATTCAGGTTTCTGGAAAAAATAAAACACTGAATCCCACATTCCTGAAAAAATACATTTTTTTCCCAGGATCCCTAAAAAAGAAAATTATTAATTCCCAGGGTTCCGATAAGTGTAAATCCTGAATTCCTGCATAAAAAAGAGGTCTAATCCAGACATTCTGAAATAAAATGCTTAGCTGAGCGCAGCTGGATACGACCGCAGAGGTCCAACCCTGAACAGTTGGAGCAAAAATGGACACAATATTCGCGCTTGATACAGGTCTGAATTTGGATTGTAATTAAATATTTGACACATAATAGGTTTCAGACACCGAATAACTGTAGTCAAATAACTTAGAATTGGTTATATGATTTGAATTTATATTCAATTTTTTGCTTTTGTGCAATACACTATGCTGTTGCAAAATTGACCCCCCCCCCCCCCCAAAAAAAAAATTTACCCCCCTTTTTTTGGCAAAAAGAAATAATATTTGAAGAAATTTCTTTTTAAATTCTGAAATCTGAAATGAAAAAAAAAATTGTGGTCTAAGAACTTAAATTTTTTTAATTTACCGATTCAAACCATATCATTATTATTTGCTTTTCTATATAAATCAGAAATTACCAATTCAAAATTGAAAATATTAAAGAAAAAAAAGGAAAAAAAAATCCCCCCCCCCCCAAATTTTTTGAACCCCCTTATGATTCATCACCCCCAAACTCAATCCAAGCCTTCCCTTTGTGTTATGGTACCTTGCAGTACAATTTCAGAGAGATCCATACACTTGAACACAAGTTATTGTCTGGAAACTAGAAAAATGCTTGTTTTTTGGCCCCATTTTGGCCCCAAATTCCTGAATGTTTAGGGCAATTACCCCCAAACTCAAACCCAGCTTTCCCTTTGTGATATGGAACCTTGTAGTAATAAAGATCCATACACTTACACATAAGTTATTGTCCTGAAACTAGAAAAAATGCTTATTTTTTGCCCCTTTTTGGCCCCTTATTCCTAAACGTTTTGGGCAATTGCCCCTAAACTCAATTCCAGCTTTCCCTTTGTAATATGGAACCTTGTAGTACAATTTCAGAAAGATCCATACACTTACACACAAGTTATTGTCATGAAACTAGAAAAATGCTTGTTTTTGCCCCTTTTTTGGCCCCTAATTCCTAAAATTTTGAGGCAATTACCCCCAGAATCAATCCCAGCATTCCCTTTGTGATATGGAACCTTGTGGTACAATATCAGAGAGATCCATACACTAACACACAAGTTATGTCTGGAAGTTACAAAAATGCTTATTTATGGCCCCTTTTTGGCCCCTAATTCCTTAACTGTTGGTACCATAACCTCCAAAATCAATCCCAACCTTCCTTTTGTGATATTGAACCTTATGGTAAAATTTCATAGAGATCCATTCACTTAAACTAAAGTTAGAGTGCGAAAACCAATGTGTCTTCAGACGACGACGCCAAACCAATATATGACCGCCAAATATTTTTGTGGTCATATAAAAATGCTTATTTTTGGCCCCTTCTTAGCCCCTAATTCCTTAACTGTTGGTACCATAACCCCCAAAATCAATCCCAACCTTTCTTTTGTGGTATTGATCCTTATGGTAAAATTTCATAGAGATCCATTCACTTAAACTAAAGTTAGAGTGCGAAAACCAATGTTTCTTTGGACGACGATGCCAATGTCATACCAATATACGACGCAAAACTTTTTTGCGGTCGTATAAAAATCAAGACATTCTTAAAAAGGTCCTTCCTCCACTCCATGTTGATTTGAATGATTAAAACAGTTTCTACAATGCTTAGACATTGTGATGATTCATGTAACTACATAAGTGCATGTATTACCACAATTTAATCATAGTGTTGGCTTCAAGCATTATTTGAATTGTAAAAATTCACTTATTTACTATAAGACAATAAACTTGCAGAAACTTCAAATATGAACACCTTCTCCCCCATTTCCACAATAACTCCAACCTTGATTGAATAATAAACTATGCAATGTCTATAAACCTTATATATCAGAGATATGTCGTGTATAATAATCCTATTTAAAACTTGAATATTATTAAATGCTGCCAAATTTTATACAGTTTGAATCTGTATCTATATTTTATGTTCTTCCTTCAAATATAGTCATCCTTTTTTGTGAGACACACATTTCTTTAGCATGATTTGTTTGGTGCTATGTTTGTTTACTGTTGTGTCCAGCCATCTTTCTTGATCAGTATCGAATCCTTACTTTATAGGCACTGTTTTCAATATTATACATTTATTTTCCGTGCCGGAGGGAGATATGAAGATTGTTCACCCAAGAATATTTATATTTCACGAGGGCTCTGCTCGAGGGAAATATGATTTTTCGAGGGTGAGCAAATCTTCATATCTCCCGAGGCAAAGGGAAATGAATGTTTTATTCCACTGCCTATGCTTTGTTTACGATCAATACATTAAATATTATTTTGCATACATTTTTTTTTCTTATCCGCTTGTTTTTGTAAGTCAAACTAAACACAACATACACATTGATAAATAGTAAGGATCAAAATTTAATTATAAGTCTTTTTGTTTTATCGTCCGAAATAAATTTGAACATGATAATGATTTTTGCTATCGCTATTTTAAGAAGAATAAGAAGTTCAAAACGTTGTGTACATTAACCGTGCGTAACGTCGCACGAAGTAATCCCGACATTTCAGAGGGGAATATGATCCTCAGAATGGAATATGAAGATTTGTTCAATGACACGTGGGATAGTCTCAACCAATCAAATATTGATTAAACTAAATATGTTTAAACAGTGGAATAATATGTTTTGTCCTATCAAATACTGGTAAGAACTTACTTTACATGAATCCATCATCTTATTTTCAAAATTGTTTCTAATAGTTTCATATTTCTCTAGGAGAGACTTGTAATCATCACCTATAAAAAATGCAGCCATAATTTAAAAATGTATGTAAAGAGTTCAAATGTACTGATTATTACTCTCACCAAACAAGCAAAAAACAAAAACACATGCAATCAAACAATTACAATATTTATTTAACTATATTATTTTCTTTCTAAAGGTACAGACTACTATGATGGTGATTATTTACAAATGTGTGCTTGACATAAAACTACATCCAAAACTCTTATTTTACACATTTGACAGAAAATGTTCTTAGAAAAGGAACCTATGCAAAATCAGGAAAATGCCAATCACTGAAAATATCAATATTGCAGAGGTTTTCAAAATATGCGCAATGTTGGATGACTTACTTGCTTTCTTGTACTTTACTTCAGACTGAAATAAGAATACATATTTTGTTCAAAATAAAGTAAGATTCAATTAAATAAAGCTGGTCATAATTCAGTTTAGGGCTATTCCATTAAAATGTATGTGGGAGGTTAGGAAGGGAAGTTTAATTATTGAATGTGGGTCATGGGCCTTTTTTCAGTATGCAACTATTACCATTATGCAAAATTATCTAAAAAATTGTTCCTGGTTGTAGGGATATTTTGAAAGTCCCTTCCTACCCTCCCACATACATTTTAATGGAATAGCCCTTAGTTTAATGTCAACAAAATGTTCAGACTTACTAGATGTAATCCAATCCTAGGAATCATGTTTCAATGTCCTGAAGGATGATACAATGAAATAATACTTAACCTAAAGTACTTTTTATCTATATGAAGAGGATTGCCAATAGCCAGAGGCTACATGTGGATCTCCTCACCAAATCTATACAGATTCACAATTTAATAAAGTTGTTTACAAACATGTTTTAATACTATATATATATACTTTACAAAAATTTAAGATAAAGAACCTAACCAAAATAAGTTGATTACTTGTCATTATATATGGCTGTATGTGAAAGCCTCAGTGAAGCTATCATTATATATGGCTGTATGTGAAAGCCTCAGTGAAGCTATCATTATATATGGCTGTATGTGAAAGCCCCAGTGAAGCTATCATTATATATGGCTGTATGTGAAAGCCTCAGTGAAGCTATCATTATATATGGCTGTATGTGAAAGCCTCAGTGAAGCTATCATTATATATGGCTGTATGTGAAAGCCTCAGTGAAGCTATCATTATATATGGCTGTATGTGAAAGCCTCAGTGAAGCTATCATTACATATGGTTGTATGTGAAAGCCTCAGTGAAGCTATCATTATATATGGCTGTATGTGAAAGCCCCAGTGAAGATATTTAAGTCTATAGATATTTATTAGCATAACCTTTCCAATACCAAGAAAAACTCAATTTACCTTTTCTACATCTTTTTGAGGAGCATTATCTCTTTTTAATCTCTCCAATTCTAAACATCTGGCATGATACAACTCTTTTGCCTGAAAGAAAATAATCAGATTTTTTTTAACTATTTTCATTAATTATCATATCTAGAGATTATGACACATATGAAGATTTTAGCACTGTAAATTCACTATAAAGCTACTTTTGGTTACTGAAGTAAGTACAACCTAAGAGAGAAACTTAAGGATTAGCTACTCTACAACTTTGTATTGGTCAATAAAAAATGTTATGTTTAAAAGTAACTTGCCACCAAATTGATTGATTGATTGTTAACATCCAATGATGCTTGCCACTAGAGATTTGACTACAAATAATGAGCAATATACAAAAAAGCATTACAAATATCACTCCATTTAATATCAAATGAGTATCTTTATTTTCTAGCTTTCACTGCAGTACATTTGCTTTCTTAAGAAAATTGATATGTCATATTTGGTACACTTTATCATGTTTATTAAGGTGCCCCAAATTTCTACACATTAAGTACTTAATGTAAATGTAAACTTTCTACACAGGTAGGTATATATGGATATAATTATGAATGTATAGTACAGACCTTGTGAAGTGCTGTTGTGTTGTTTTGTATAGCAGTAACCTGTTCCAGTGTACTGGATTCACCATCTTTTATCTAAAATATATTAGTTATCATATGTATACAGGCAACAATTATAAGTTTCATTTTTTTTAAATCCTTTTCAATCATGTTCATATATTGATGTATTAAGTTGAAGTTAATTCTACACTTATTAGCTTTTCTAAACAAAACACAAGCAACTCTTTCTTTACTTTTAATTCTAAACTAAAAATCTTTCTATTAGGGAACCCCACACACACTTTTTATTTATTTGAACCTAGGGAAATCAATCTAGTCTATGATGCAAACACAAAATAAAGTTTACTGTGAGCAATATATGCAAATACACACATTAGGCATAACATTACCTTTTAGATTTTAATAATTCTCACTTTACTTCACTTCAATATTTAAATCATCTCCCAACAATGTTGATTATTTGACATTGATCAGGAAATGATTCTAGCATTGTACTTACTGCTTTGTGACGTTTATGTTGTTCGTCATTGTATCTAGCTACATCCTTGATTAGGTCATTCCATGTCAGAACTAACTGCATATGCAGGCTAGCTAACTTCTCTGTTAAACTTTTCAACACATTCCAAAAAGGTGCAAATGTCCTAAAAAAAATCATCAAAAAAGTTTGAACAATATTTTCCTTATAACTTTCTTCTTTTTCAACATTATAGACATAGACTTGGTTTCTGACCTAAGCTATGCTTAAGATCAGAGAGAATAAACTGCTTCGCTGAGCGCAGCTGGATACGCCCGCAGAGGTCCAACCCTGAACAGTTGGGGCAAAAATGGACACAATATTCAAGCTTGATACAGGTCTGAATTTGGATTGTAATTAAATATTTGATATATTATAGGTTTCTGAATAAATGTAGTCAAAGAACTTGAAATTGGTTATATGAAAGATTTCTTGCTGTTGCGCAATACTTAGTAAATCTGTTGTCAGACTATAAACAAATAAAATCTTATAACTCGGAAACGTAAAATCAAAAATTTATAGAAACCTAAAGGGAGCTTACAAAAATAGATATAAACAATTTACCAAAGTTTCATAAAAAATGCTGAAAGCATTTTTGAATTATTGTCTGAAAACTGGAAAATCCCCATTTTGTAATGAATAAAACCCCATAAATCGGAAACGTATAGTCTGAAATTTATAAAAATCAAAAGGGAGCTCATGTCAATAGAAATAAACAATTCACCAAAGTCTTTTTGCAAATTGATGAAATAGTTTTTGAGTTATTGTCTGAAAACTGGAAAATCCCCCCTTTTTTAATGAATAAAACCCCAAACCTCGGAAACGGTAAATCGGAAATTTATAAAAAAACAAAAGGGAGCTCACGTCAATAAAAATGAACAATTCACAAAAGTTTCATGTAAATTGGTGAAATTTTTTTTGAGTTATTGTCCGAAAACTGGAAAATCCCCCCTTTTTTAATGAACAAAACCCCAAAACTCGGACAGACGGACAACGGTATACCATTATACGTCCCATAAACGGGCCTATAAAAATTCAACAGACCAGCTTCCAGTAGTAAACATTATGAACATAGCCAAAATATTTAAATACATGGTACATTTTATCAATTTTGGAATTGTTACTGACAAGAAATAGTCCCAAACATTTCCAATGGATTATAAGTTGAATAAATTGCTCCGCTGGGGCGCAGCTTGATACGACTGCAGAGGTTGAACCCTGAACAGTTGGGGCAAGTATGGACACTACATTCAAGCTTGATACAGCACTGAATTTGGATTGTAATTAAATATTTGACACAGCATAGGTTTCTGACACAGAATGAAAGTGGTCTAAGAACTTAAAAATTTTTAATTTACCTATTCAAACCATATCATTATTATTTGCTTTTATATATAAATCAGAAATAACCAATTTTAAATGGAAAATTTTAAAGAAAAAAAAAGGAAAAAAAAATCCCCCCCAATTTTTTTTAACCCCCTTATGATTCATCACCCCCAAACTCAATTCCAGTCTTCCCTTTGTTGTATGGTACCTTGCAGTACAATTTCAGAGAGATCCATACACTTGAACACAAGTTACTGTCTGGAAACTAGAAAAATGCTTGTTTTTTTGGCCCCAAATTCCTAAACATTTAGGGCAATTACCCCCAAACTCAAACCCAGCTTTCCCTTTGTGATATGGAACCTTGCAGTACAATTTCATAAAGATCCATACACTAACACACAAGTTATTGTCCTGAAACTAGAAAAATGATTGTTTTTTTGCCCTTTTATGGCCCCTAATTACTAAAATTTTGAGGGAATTACCCCCAAAATCAATCCCAGCCTTCCCATTGTGGTATGGTACCTTGCAGTACAATTTCAGAGAGATCCATACACTTAAACACAAGTTATTGTCTGGAAACTAGAACTAGAGGCTCTCAAGAGCCTGTGTCGCTCACCTGTATTTACTGATGCTTTGGAAATCATGTCAAATAAGTTTAAAATCATAATTAATAGTATTAGATATTAGATATTATAATGATATCTAAGATATTAACAAAAAACTGCAAAATTTTTGTAAAATTACTAACTCAGGGGCAGCAACCCAACAACGGGTTGTCAGATTCGTCTGAAAATTTCAGGGCAGATAAATCTAAATCTGATGAATATTTTTGCCACCTGTCAGATTTGCTCTAAATGCTTTAGTTTCAGAGATATAAACCAAAAACTGCATTTAACCCCTATGTTCTATTTTTAACCAAGTCGGCCATGAAGGTTGGAAGGCAGGGTCATCGGACAAATTTTTAAAACTAGACACCCTAATAATGATTATGGCCAAGTATGGTTAAATTTGTCTCTGTAGTTTCAGAGAAGAAGACTACGTAAAAGTTACAAAAATTTACAAAAAATTGTTAAAAATTGACTATTAAGGGCAATAACTCCTAAAGGGGTCGACTGACAATTTTGGTCATGACAACTTATTTGTAGATCTTACTTTGCTGAACATTATTGCTGTTTACAGTTTATCTCTATCTATAATAATATTCAAGATAATAACCAAAAACTGCAAAATTTCCTTAAAATTACCAATTCAGGGGCAGCAACCCAACAACAGGTTGTCAGATTTGTCTGAAAATTTTAAGGCAGATAGATCTTGACCTGATAATCAGTTTAACCCTATGTCAGATTTACTCTAAATGCTTTGGTTTCAGAGATATAAGCCAAAATCTACATTTTACCCCTATGTTCTATTTTTAGCCATGGCCGCCATCTTGGTTGGTTTGCGGGGTCATCGGACACATTTTTTTAACTAAATACCCTAATGATGATTGTGGCCAAGTTTGGTTAAATTTGGCCCAGTGGTTTCAGAGGAGAAGATTTTTGTAAAAAGCTAACGACGACGGACGACGGACGCCAAGTGATGAGAAAAGCTCACTTGGCCCTTCGGGCCAGGTGAGCTGAAAATGTTTATTTTTGGCCCCTTTTTGGCCCTTATTTCTAAACTTTTCGGGCAATTACCCCGAAACTCAATTCCAGCTTTCCCTTTGTGATATGGAACCTTGTGATACAATTTCAGAGAGATCCATAGACTTACACACAAGTTATTGTCATGAAACTAGAAAAATGCTTGTTTTTTGCCCCTTTATGGCTCCTAATTCCTAAAATTTTGAGGCAATTTCCCCCAAAATCAATCCTAGCATTCCCTTTGTGATATGGAACCTTGTGGTACAATGTCAGAGAGATCCATACACTTACACACAAGTTATGTCTGGAAGTTACAAAAATGCTTATTTTTGGCCCCTTTTTCCTTAACTGTTGGTACCATAACCCCCAAAATCAATCCCCACCTTCCTTTTGTGGTATTGAACCTTATGGTAAAATTTCATTGAGATCCATTCACTTAAACTAAAGTTAGAGTGCGAAAACTAATGTGTCTTCGGACGACGACGCCAACGTCATACCAATATACGACCACAAAAATTTTTTTGCGGTCGTATAAAAAGTTCACAAGACATTCTGACATTTCTTTGCTATATATGCACGTTTTATTTTTTAGATAGTGAAAACAAAAAATAACACTCCCTTTTACACAGATTTTATTTCATTTTAAAGGCTGATCATACTGATTCTGATTATACCTTTCTAATTGAAAATTTTATTGGTCTTAAATTTCACTTTATATAACCATAATTACATACCCTGTGTGACTACTGTTAGTCGCAGTTCTGGCTAGCTTGGTTAATAATTTGCTGTAAGTTTCTTCTACAGTACAACTGAAATAAACAAATAAAGCACATGTTGTAAATTATTTAGGGGTATGGAATACTTTGGTACTGATGGCAGATCATTGTCTCTGTAAAAGTGTATTCCAAACTTTTCTAGAATCTGGGTAATTTAGAACTTGACATATATTATACATGTTATAGATACTTTTCCATTATATAAGACTGTATATTGACTTCCAAATGGCTTTTTTTAATTTTTTGTCTTAAGGTAGATTATCTTGGATTTTACTATCTCAGTACAAAATTGGTCTAGTTATTTGCCCAAATCTGCAAATTTGGAGAGAGATTTGCAATTTAATGGTTAGATTGTTTATTTTTATAAAGAAAACTTGGTGATTTATTGTATTATTCAAAATATTTAAACAAATATCAAATTTTGTGTTTTTAGAATCTTTTTTTTCAAATACACCATTTAAGGGGAGATAACTCTTTTAGTGAAAAATATATACTGGACTGATAGAGAAATTTTTAATTTTTACTTGTAGCAAGAAAACAAGTTCGATGAAACATTTTTTTAAAAAAAATTTTAAAACATATTATAAACCCTATCTTCTTACAATTTATTTCAAAATTCTATCTCATAGAATTTTTTTTATCCACACAAATGTGTTTTTTCATGAACAATCTAACCAAATTTAGGCAATTTTCAACGACTCATAGCTTGGAAAATAGCACGGTGACCCATACTTTTTATTATATTTTTGAAAAAAGCATAGTAAAATCTTCCTTTTGGCAAAGTATAAGAAAATTCTATCTCAAAAAGTATATACTTATGATCTACCTTAAGGTTGCTGTCTTATCAACATAAACCCAAATTCCTTTTCTATTTCATAATAAAAAGGTACAGTTAAACCTGTCAAACCAAACCCTGTATAAACTGGTAATTTTTGAAAACTGAACTTGTGTATTAGGTCATATAGTGATAGTTCTTTAATTTCACCTACAACTACTGAATATTGTCTTATCCAAACTAAATTTTTGGCCAAAGGGAATTGGTTTAGACAAGTAGAGGTACTATTTTAGATGAATTGTTGCAATTGTTTACCTATATGTCCAAGAAAGTTCATTTGAAGTTGTTTTTATATATAACAACTATGAATGAACTTTCTTTATATTATTGTATTCATTGACTGTATTTTGTCACATATATATTTGTTTGCTATTCAACATGTAAACATAGTTTTCTAATTTTATTTTTGAATTTAGGGAGACGGATTTATATAAGAGCACTGCTCTTGTTTCCTTATCTCAATTATTGAATTACTTGTATAATTCATATTTATATAGTTACTCTTGTAGCTATACATAATGAATTCTTTAATAAAATATGTTTACACTTATATGTCCAATTCTGTAATTCAAAATTTGTGCAAGTACTATTTTCCTTTTTGTTTCCCATTCTATTAAGTAAAAAGCTATATACAGCAACATGATAGTATATGTATCAATTGATATTACCTTTCTCTCAGAAAGTCTATGAAGTCTTTAGAAGCTGTCTGGCCATGTTTCATATTATGATACAGCACATAGAAGCCATTGTTCTTTTCTCCCTAAAAATATAAAAAATATTGGTAATATTTATAATCAAAACCATACATACATTATTACTATAATGCAATGTATGACACAGGTTATGTTCTTCTCATATATTTTATGATGGTATAATTCTAAACCCCTAACAGGAGGGATTATGATGAAGACATAATCTTTCAATCAGTTTAATTGAGCTCTGGAGCTGGCATGTCAGTAACTGCTAGTAGTCTGTTGTTATTTATGTATTATTGTCATTTTGTTTATTTTCTTTTGTTTCCCATTCTGACATAGGACTCGGACTTCTCTTAAACTGAGTTTTACTGTGCGTACTGTTGTACGTTTGTTTTTTCTACATTGGCTAGAGGTATAGGGGGAGGGTTGAGATCTCAAAAAACATGTTTAACCCCGCCGCATTTTTGCGCCTGTCCCAAGTCAGGAGCCTCTGGCCTTTGTTAGTCTTGTATCTTTTTTAATTTTAGTTTCATGTGTATAATTTTGAGTTTAGTATGGCGTCCATTATCACTGAACTAGTATACATATTTGTTTAGGGGCCAGCTGAAGGACGCCTCCGGGTGCGGGAGTTTCTCGCTGCATTGAAGACCCATTGGTGGCCTTCGGCTGTTGTCTGCTCTATGGTTGGATTGTTGTCTCTTTGACACATTCCCCATTTCCATTCTCAATTTTATACTGTACAACTGAAATCATATAATTTTTTACCTCTTTTTTGTCAAGTGGTCAACATCATTTTAATTTAAGGTACAGTTTGAAAACATCAGGTGTTACAACTGAATCAGGTAAATTTGATGTATGTCCAAGTTACAGTTACTTGAACAATACTGAAACAAGTTATTTCACCTATGCAGTACTAATTAAAAGGTCAAATTTAATAAATGTTTCATTAGCTTTAGACAAATTTCTTATAAGCTAACCAGTTGCAAGTATGTGTTCAAATGTATTTGGTTTTTAATTTTTGTCACCAATTTATCCTTTTTATACATTTTAGCAAACAAAAAAAACACCACATTTCCAGATATCTAAGGAAATGGATACACAGGAAATGCTGATTTGTTTTGGAGAATATTTTTCAAAAATATTTTCAAGATTCCAGATCAGCCATTGTCACCTAACACAAATTAATCTGCTCTGACATTGCAGTATTTGTAATTAGAAACATTACAAATTCCTAAAATTAAAAAAAAAAATCCAATTTGAACAAATATGTCATTTCCAAAAATATTCTAACATACCTAAAATCTGTGGTAATATTTGTAGGGTGGGAAAAATGTCTGTCTTAAGAATTCTTGAAGTCCAAGGTTATAGTGAGATATGTGGCATGGGAACATAGTTGTCCAAGTTTTGCCTCAATGCTCTCCAAGACAAATTTATTTATTGTTATAAACTATTTACAGGTTAAATGAGTCTATTGGCTAGACCTTGAGGATTCCACAGATGTTTTGCAGCAATTCAAAAATTTCTCTGCAATACATGTACATGTAGGGAGAAATCATGTGTTTTCCTTTGTTGCTAATGTCAAACAAATTTCCAAGTCAAAGTTGTCCAATCATTGGGCTAGTAAATGTAAGACCATTAGACCAGGGTTGCTTTTTACTTTGGGTTTCAAACTACATTTTGTACTAACATCAGTTCATCATTGGTTTCCAGTCATTTAGGAACTATATTTTGTTTACATATTATTGGTCCTATTTTTTTACAGCCCCTGGTAAACACATTATTTATTGTTCAAGCATGCTTACTGTCCAAGCATTTAAATAAAAGACTTTCATTTGGCAGGATTTAAGCTTGGATTTTGACAGTTATAGTCACTTTCGCCCATTAAGAAAATCAACCTTTCTCCATTGTTCTTGGGTAACAGCATAACATGATACTAGTGGTACTACATGTACTAAAGTAATTATAGGGTTAAATACATGAACAACAAGCATTCTGAGAGTATTGCATGGCAATACATAGCCCCCTACCGGTTAAAAATTCATTGTATAGGAACAAAATGCTATCTTGATCTATAACTTGTCATGGTGTAAACTATATAACAAATATCAAAGTCAATATCTTCAATCATGATGAAAAAAAAGTGTTGAAAACTGATTATCTAAGTCCAAGGACCATAACGCTGCACAAAATCATACACCAGAACAACAGTGTTCTCCCCAGGATTTTTGGATAGCACCAGGGTAACGCGTGTGAACAGCTTGGTAAAATGATTCATACAATCAGTTGTGTCGCGTGGCGTTGCTATATTTCTAGTTACTGCAGTTTTTATGTCTCTTGTTTAGTTTTAATACTGTAGTACTGTGTTATGTCAGAATATTATTGGTTAAAAAGATCAATAAACAGTTTGTATACTTTTAGTATTTTTTAAAAATAAATTAAACATGATTCATTACATAATATTCATCTAAATTTAAAGTAATTAAATCTTTTATAAAATCCATGATCAATAAAAATAAAATATCATTCAAACAGGAACATATATATTGTTAGATATACTGTTCCCAGATTCAAAAGAGAACAAAAAGGTTCAATTTAAAAACCTTAGAAAGAAAGTTGTTGTATGTGAAAGGATTCCTGTCATAAGGGAGATATAAAATTAACAAGAACAAAAGGTACAAAGTTGTGTATAAATTTGAACCAGTTTCTATCTTAAATTTTAATAAAAAGAAATTTTTCATAAATTTTAAAACATTTTGCTATAGATTTCATCTGAGACTACTATGTGTGTTATAGTAGTCTCAGATTTCATGAACATGTAAATATTAACCTTTCTTGTCTTTGGTGATAATCAAACATAGATACAGACTTAATACTGCACTGAAATCTAAATCTTGATTTATCATGATCCATTTAAAAAGAATTCCTAAATCTATAAATTTATCTTAGGTCTATAGATCTATAAGTAACATATTCAATGTCAACAACAAAGTCTCCCTATTTTCCCGCCTAAATGACAGGAAGTAGATATAAATAGATTTAACATGTGCTTATGGATTAAAATTGCAAGATCACTTCTGTTATTCATTAATGATCATATGGATATATATATCCAGTTTGAAGGTACAGTCATGCATTTTATTTATAAAATAGAATAGATTGCAGTTAATTGTAAATAATCTTGAATATTCTACTGAACTAACTGGGTAATTTGATCCTTCCCCTTTGAATTACTTGTTGACAGTTTGAAACCGGAATATCATGCAATAACTATGTCAAAATTAAAGATAATTTTGTCCATGGTTAAATCAGAGACATATAAAACTATAATATAAGTATTGAGCTAACTTTATAATGTACAAAATATGTACCGTCGTGTGTACAACTAGCGGGTCAACACGGTTTGTTTACAAAGTATTTGCCGACTTGTCAGGTGGTGAGTGAAGCCTTAAAATAGTTATCTTTGATCATAAAGTTAAATTAAAACACAAAAGAATCATATAAAAAGTGTTAATTACATCGATTAAATCCAATCAACAAAGGTTAACCTCATAAAGGTAAATCAATCACGTGGTGTAAATAATCCGTGTTGAACTGGTTTGAACTGGTCAAATTTCACCTGGAATTTTATACCGCACGGAAAAGATTTAACAAGTCGTTTAAAACTTTACCGATTTACGATTTTTTAACTGAAAATTTTAGCACCACGGAGAAAAATTATACATCGTGGTAAGAACGATACCACCACGGTGAAAAATTATACATCGCGGGCCCGCGGTCCTTTAAGGGCCTGGGGAGAACACTGGAACAAAATTCGAACTTGATCTGTAACTTGTCATTATAAAACTATATACCAATTATCAAATCAATATCTTCAAGCATGATGAAATAAACTGCTTCCCTAAGTGCAGCTGGATACGCCCGCAGAGGTCCAACCCTGAACAGTTGGGGCAAAAATGGACACAATATTCAAGCTTGATACAGGTCTGAATTTGGATTGTAATTAAATATTTGACATATTAAAGGTTTCTGAATAAATGTAGTCAAAGAACTTGAAATTGGTTATATGAATTGAATTTATATTCAATTAAAGATTTCTTGCTGATGATCTTAAACCCTGCTGACTGCCATGGCAATTGCCAAATAAACGGATCACCAGATGTAACAAAAAGGATCTTGATTATTAATTTAATACCAAACAGAAAACAATAAGTCAATGGATTAGTTTCACTAATCACTATAGAAAACTGCATTATTGAATGTAAATAACGAATGCAGGTGTGCTCCATTAAAGGGACACAAGAATAGTAGACACAGTGTAAATTATCAATCAATTTGAGTCTGTGTATACTATGACCCTGAAAAACTTGAGATTGGTCTATAGATCTTATAAACCTTATCGCTATTCCTGGCTGACCCGAGAATCTGTCCCGCTTGAACTTTTGACGTCATACAACAATCACTTTTCCATTGTGGCGTCAGATATTTTGTATTGTGACGTCAAAATTTTACGGGAACCTGTGTGATGTCCAGTAATGGCGGACAAATAGCGATAAGGTGTATTGCTTTATGAGAATCTGTAACACTTGACCTCAAAATTTGCGACACTTGAACTATTGATGTCATATTACAAGAATCACTTTTCCTTTGTGGCATCAGACATTTGCTATTTATATTATGAAGTCAAAATTTTACAGGAATCTTTGTGATGTCCAGTAATGATGGACAAATAGCGATAAGGTGTATTGTATCCTGGTAAATAAATGGAAAGGGAAGTAACTAAAGTACTCCAAGGTTATAAACTGTGTCTCCTTGAATTTGGAATGATATTGATTTTATATCAAATATGCAAATGAAAAACATTGTACTTGGGTATGCAGAATTGAAAAATGAAGTTATAGCACAGTGGTAAATGCAAATATGCACAAGATATATGCAAACATGATGTAGACAACACCCCCTTTTCAAGTGCCAATAGCATAAAATAACGTTGCTTTTTCTTCGCTTTTTTCAAGTAAATGTCATCTAATATTCCGTCTCTGAAAACCCTATCTATTAAAGTACCCAAAAATGATCAGAGAAAGTTGTCATCATAAATTTTGAAACTGCATCTGGTTTGATTCCATGAAAATGGCGATTATTTTGATTGTTTTGCGTTTGCGCACATCCGTTTTCTTCCTCAGTTCAGCGCTTAAAACAACGGTCTTTTAACGCGTGTATTGAAGCTTATTTGTCGTCAGCTGGCAGTTGAAAAATTCCGGGAAAGTACAAAATACCAAGAAAGGTATAAATACAAATTCTTCTCTACAGCTCAGAAATATTGTGGATTCTTTTAAAAGGAATAGTGTTTTGTACAAAAAAGAAGCTTTTGGTATTCCCATAACAACAAATTTGAAAGTATTTTTGAACACCTGAACAGAGTCAGAGACATCAGTCATCATGACATATTGTAGAATAGAATATTTTTATTTCCCAAATTACAGGGCCCAGATACAATTGATTGACACAATTGGTAATTACAACAATAAACATCACAGTGTACATGTAAATATATATTTAGTATATTAGCATTGGTCAGAATCAGAGCCATCAACAATTTATATATTGTGAATAAAAGAATAAAATTATATGCATTCATTCTCAAATTATTTACTGGACTTACTTAGTGTCAATATTCATACCTGATCTCCTTAATTCAAAACATTCACCAATGTAACAGCCCATTTTTACCATAAGAGATACATTTTCTTGGGTCAAGTGCCATACAAATTTTGAAGATTTAAGTTTTTAAAATTATAACAAATGTTAGAAATGTATTGAAAAAAATCTTCCCTTTGGATATCATAAAGTGGGCATTCTGACAAAAAATGAAGCTCATCCTCAACTTTACCAAGTGAGCAATTTAAACAAAGACGCTCAGATCTATCTATATGTTTTTTTTAAATATCTGTCTGTAAAGTGTCTGAGCACTTATTCTTAAGGTTCATCATAACCTTTTAGCAAATATGGCCAAGCAAAGTATTTACACCACAAATTTCACTCTGTGTACAGACAAACCTGTACACCTGGAACAGTTTTGGAGCCTGGCTGGACCTAGATATATAAAATTTAAATGCATTTTAAGTTTCAGAATATTAAAAACTTAACTTGATTTTGCTATTCATTTTTTTTCATTCCTACAGAAGGTGCCAAAATAAACTAAGTTGGGAAAGAGATTTGAGAAGCCACCCTCATATAATAAATATTGTGAGTAGTATTGATTTAAATGAACAATAGATGGACAATAGACATCTGCAAACAATAGGTGGTTTAAACTGTGTAACTGAGTGGACTGTATCAAATGAAACTCATGTGTTAGTTTATTTTGCTATCTTCTGCAGACTGGAAAAAAATCCACATCAAAATCCAGGTAAGTTTTTAATTTTCTGAAACATAGACTACACATAGCCTTTATATATCTAGGTCCAGCCAGGCCTTGAAACTTTCCTAGATGCATCAGTTTGTCAGTTTTCAGAGTAGATTTTGTGGTGTAAACAGGGCCATATTTTTCAATTCCTTTAGATGAACCTTAATTTACAAATTGCCTGTCTTTTTTTAAAATCCTGTAGTTCTAAATATTTTTTTTTTAAAACAATCTTTTATATAAAAATAAGTACCAAGCTTCCCTTTTTCTGAATTAATTGTTTGATACTTTCAGTCTATTCCAAAATGTTTAATAACTTTCACATAGTTTACTTTTAACATACTTACAATGTACATAAAGAACCAATTGATTGGTCAAAATTTGGTAATTTAATCTCTCTCTGAATATAATCTATACTAGAGTACCATGTATTAACATTAGAAATATGTAATTGTTTACAACATATGAATGCATCAAATAATAATCCTTCTTTCAAACCTTCCAGTCTATGACAATATTTTAATATTGATAAAATTATAGTAAAATAAATAGGAAATCTACCAAGCTCTGACATCACAGCTATGTTACTGGACTTTCTGTTCACACCAAGAATATATAAACAGGCCTCTACATTATCATATTTTCTAACTTGTCCCTTCGGACAAGTTGTAAGAAAATCAACTTGTCCGAACTCTTAACTCACTTGTCCGAATTCAAAATTGAAAATCTTACATATTGAAGGTATGCACCAATAACACTTGAGCTTTGATCGTACCTAATGAAGCCAGGGAGCAATTTGCTAATAGCTATGCTATATGAATTTGTAACTAAATAAAGAATACCACATAAAAATTCATTTTATTATTTCAGACTGAGTTATCTGAATCAATGTCACTGTCATGTGTCGATCATTAAATCATCATCACTTTAATAAATTACAAATGTAGGACCACCTCCATATGGAGTTTTACCTTAACTTTAAAATTTTAAAGAATAAAAACGTTTTTTCCAACATATGTACAGAACATATAAATACACAATAAAAGTGTCATGCATGGCATATTTACGGGAGCTTTTTAATACAAATTCACTAATATAAGTACCTCAGTTTTATTTATAATTAAAGTATGTTTCATTTGATTTTGCTTTATAATAAAATCTAAAAAGGCAGATTTTCTCAGTAGAATGTTTTATGTACTTCATAAACAATTTTTTTGTATCAATGTACTTAAAAATCAAGATAAAATTATAAAAGCTCGTTTTGCCACCATCAATAATTTTAAAAGGTTTATATACAAGATATGGTTCCTATCATCAATGTATTAGTGAAATTCATAACTTTATTATTTGTCCCATTCAAACACCTGGCCACCTTGTGAATTTCAACTGATTAAAACATGTTAGAGATCGCGATTCCAGTGACCAGGATCTCTCGGGATTTATCCTTTTGATATTAACGCTTCTCCCTGAGAGGTTCGAATGAAATCTTCCCAGCATATTAATATTGGTTTCCTTCGCCCTTGCTTATATTCCACTGGTCAGACTCTGCAACCATGTTCAATCAATGAATATATTTCATTTCGCATCATCATTAAAAGAATCTTTCAATATTTTGGGAATTTATAAGTCTTGAATTTGATATATTTTATATCTGACATCGACTTTTCACTTGTCCCATCGGACAAGTAGTATGGTGAATCTACTTGCCCGACGTCTGTGTCCACTTGTCTCGGACAAGCGGTAATGTTGAGCCCTGATAAATGTTGTTGTATCTATGCTATTATTCAGAGCTTTCTTTTTTTATATAGTATATATGTCTCTGATAATAACTAATGAGAAAATTTAGTGTTATTCTTTAGTAAACAACTCTATTTTTTGCAACAGAAAACATTTAAACCACATGTATGCTTTGAATAATAGATAAAATATATACTACAAAACATGTATTTGGGACCAACATAACAAATTTGTGCAAGGATTTGTATAGTAATCCTTGATTTGTGTAAGGCCTAACAAGAAACAAGGGATCTGATTGGTCCAAAATTAAAAGGTGATTTTATTTTTTAGTGTACATTTCACCCAGAGGGGTGGGTGGCATATTTACTATTTCATTGACTGCAAGGTAAATTTTGAGCAATTTTTTCTTTGTCGTTGGGAGTTGATATAAAGAGTCTCATTCAAGTCTCATTAAAGATCATAGCACTTTGTGGAAGTTGAAAATTTTTGTGATGCAGAGATAAAAAAGAAAAAAATGAATAACATGTATGATCATAGCACTTCGTGGAAGTTGAAAAGTTTTGTGATGCAGAGATAAAAAAAAAATGAATAACATGTAAGTTATGAGTTCTTGTGAAAACAAAGCCCTCTCACCATGGTCACTCTAATATTAGATGGCAATTGTATTTATAAAAACACTTTAATTTTCTAGTTTCTGTTTTTTTCCCTTCGTAAAATTTAGTTGACTGGAAGAAGTGCATCCAACACATATGGAAAAATTCTGTTATTTTGAATTTATTATTTGTATTTTTTTCCTGTATTTGTAAAACAACATTATTTAGATGTAATTGAGACTAATAGATCTTGTAATTTAACTTAGATTTATCTCCCTTGTAACAACTCAATAACAGTCCATGCATATTATTATAACATTACTCTTTTCCTTTAAATTTTCCTGTAAAGATGTTGTGACAGAACATGAAGAAATTGTTCCAGCAAGGGGCAATAACGGTAGATGAATATTTTTAATTCTGTAAATATGAAAAGATCATGATGATTATTGATTGGTGTTTAGCATCCAGTCGCAAATATTACATGTAGATTATGACCAGAACATCTTGATTTGATACAAATATGAACTCTGCTTTGTACTAGACCATGGTTTCTTTATTTTCTTTTGTTTAGGTGAATTTTCACTAAGCATATGAACATTGTCAAAGGCAGCATGGTTACTTTTGTAGAAGCCTTTTTTTATATTGAATATACATGTATAAGAAGAGTTGCTGTACCATTAATGTTTACTGTACTTTCTCAGTAAATTATTTATATTGGATTTGGTTTAGTGGTTAGAATGAAAAAGTGTAAGTAACAGAATTCTTGAATTTCAACAATTTGACATTGAAATGAAATATTATTGTCGAGCCTTCGACTTTAGTCGAAAAAAGCGAGACATAGCGATCCTACATTCCGTCGGCAGCGGCGTCCACAAATATTCACTCTGTGGTTAAAGTTTTTGAAATTTTAATAACTTAAACTATCCTGGATTTCTACCAAACTTGGACGGAAGCTTGTTTATGATCATAAGATAGTATCCAGAAGTAAATTTTGTAAAAATAAAATTCCATTTTTTCCCTATTTTACTTATAAATGGACTTAGTTTTTCTGCCAGGAAATATTACATTCACTCTGTGGTTAAAGTTTTTAAAATTTTAATAACTTTCTTAAACTATCCTGGGTTTGTACCGAACTTGGACAGAAGCTTGTTTATGATCATAAGATAGTATCCAGAAGTAAATTTTGTAAAAAAATAAATCCATTTTTTCCTTATTTTATTTTTAAATGGACTTGGATTTTCTGCCAGGAAACAACACATTCACTCTGTGGTTAAAGTTTTTAGAATTTTAATAACTTTCTTATACTATTTTGGATTTGTACCAAACTTGGACAGAAGCTTGTTTATGATCAAATGCTAGTATCTAGAAGGAAATTTTGTTTTCTTCCAGTTAACATTACATTCAGTCTGCAGTTAAA